CTCATGAAATACAGAAGTTGGGGTTCTCAAACCTAGCATTCAGAGAGATCAGGAGTTTGAGATCAGTCTGGGCTGCATCGTGGGTTCAAGAACAGCTTGAGCTACATAGTGAGACAGGGTCCTGTCTTGGGATCTCCCCCCCTAAATATTCTCATCACCTGAAATGTCCTAAGAAGAAGGCATCTAAAGACACAAATCTACTCAGTGACCTGCTCAGTTAAGAAGAGCTCCAGGGTATGAGCTTGCCCATCAACACCCTCCCACGCCTTTCAAGGCTCTTTGGGGCACCTGTGTGACAGAAGCAAAGCTCATACCTACCAGGTGTTCTACTGCAACTTCTGCCTCCTAGGTGACATTTTAAAGGGAAACCAATGAGAGAGGACTGTGATGATCCCAGAAGTGGGCCACTGCTACCAGGCTTAGGGAACATGGGTGGAAAGGGTAACCTAGGACAGTGACTCATGACAGTTACTCCCTAGTCCCTACAGAGGGTTATCCAATGTCTATTTCCGGGTTAGGCTGATAGAGGGCAGGGATGGTGAGTGTGTCATAAGTTGTTTTGATTATAATATATGTGGATGGTTTTAGATCTTGTTATAAAAACTGATGGCCCCTGGCCTCCGAGCCTTTGGGAGTGGATTTTTTTTAAATGAGAGAGAGACAAAAACAAAACAAAACAAAACAAAAAAAACTTACTTCTAAGTAGTGTAAGGGTTGGGAAGTAAGGCCAGACCAGCAGAGTGTGTATCAGATGAAACAAAGCATGTGTTTCTTGTTTGTTTTTTTGTTGGTTGGTTGGTTTGGTTTGGTTTTTTGAAGACAGGAATTCTTTCTATTTGCCATGGCTGACCTGAATGAAACTCACTCTGTAGACCAGGCTGGCCTCAGACTTACAGAGATTCTACTGCCTCTGCCTCCCAAGTGCTGGAATTTAAGGCATGACCCACCACTGCTTGGATCAAAATAATAGTTGAGGTGTCTTCAATTTGTAATTTTCCTTCGGAGCCATCAACTGTGCCACCAAATATTCAGACCCAATCAGTCTACAGTTGTGGAGGAGGGTTCACCCTGCTGAGAGAATAATTGACCTGGTAACCCCTAAATGGGACAAGAGCATTTAGGAAACAAACATCTTGCCTTTGGCCTTTAGAGGCTAAAGCCAAGGGTGAGTTGGACCAAAGCTCAGGGCAGTAGAACATGGGGTTGGATATGGCTGAGTAAAAGCATTTGTTGGGCAAGCCTGACCTAAGTCCCAGCCCCACATAAAATCATCTACAGACCTCCACACACACATAAACAAAAAAAGTAAATTGGGGTATGGAGATGCCTATCATCCAGCTACTCTGTTTTAGTTATTTAAAATAATTTTTAAATTTAACTATACTTTGATCATATTCTTTCTCTTCCCCCAAGTTATTCCAAATCTTATTCCTTCCCAACTTTAAGTTCTTTCTCAAAAAAAAAAAAAAAATCAACAAAAACCCAATATGACAATAATACCATAAAAACCCTCCACAAACAAAAACAACAACCACCCCCCCAAAAAAAAAACTGTAACCAAATAAAAGCAGCCAAAAAACTGTGGAGTTTATTACATGTTAGTCAACTACTCAGGAACATGAGGCCTGCCCAGGAGTGGTTGATATGCCCAGGGTCACTCCATTGGAGAAATCTGATTTTTCCCTCACCCAGCTGGTATAAGTGACAGTTCAGTTGTTAATCTTAACCCTAGTGACTAGGTTTTCATTCATTTAAAAAAAAAATTTATTTTATGTGCATTGGTGTGAAGGTGTCAGATCCCTGGAATTGGAGTTACAGTTGTGAGCTGCCATGTAGGTCCTTTGGGAGAGCAGTCAGTGCTCTTAACTGCAGAGCCATCTCTTCAGCCCCTCATTCACTTTTTAAACATAACAAAATAAAACATAATAAGATAAATAAAGCACAGACCTCGCCCATTGGGGGTGGGGACAGTGGTGGATGTTACCTGGGGGAACTAAGTCTGAGGAGGGGGCCCCTGGGAGCTCTCTTGCTTGCAGCACGGGGACAGGAAAACATCCGGAGGCATCCTTGGGACCAGGAACCTGCTGGTGTTCATCTGTCTATGTTGTAAGTTATTTCTCCCTGAATAAACATCTATTCAGCCTATCTGTTTCTCCTGATCCTTATTAAACCACAATAATCATGTAGAAGTTGGACAGGACAAATGAACAGAAGGAGTCAAAGAGAAAGCACAGGAATCAGAAAACCACCTGTTTGCACACTCAGAAATCCCATAAAAACATAAATTGGAGGCCATAATATAAACATAGAGGGCTGGTGCAGACCCATGCCCACAGTTCCTAAGGACGATGGGAATCGATCTACCTCAAAATCTAGTCATGCCACTCCTGGGCATACACCCAAAGGATGCTTTATCCGGCTACAAAGACACTTGCTCAAGCATGTTCACTGCTGCTCTAGTTATAATAGCCAGAAATGGGAAAACAACTAGATGTCTCTCAGGAGAAGAACGGATAAAGAAAATATGGTACATTTACACAATGGAGTATTACTCAGCCATTAAAAAAAATGACAACATGAAATTTATAGGCAAATGGATGGAGTTAGAAAAAAAGTCATCCTGAGTGAGGTATCCAGACCCAGAAAGACACATATGGTATGTATTCAGTTATATGTGGATATTAGATGTTAAGTTAATGATAACCAAGCTATAATTCATAAAACCACAAAGGGTAGGTACAGAGTAAGGGACTAGAGGGAACAGATAGATTTTATTAGGAAAAGGTTATGGATGGATGAAGGAATGAATCAAGTGGGGAGAGGGAGTTAGGGGAGAGAATACATTTGGAGAGACAGGTAAGATTAAGAAGCATTTGAGGGATAGTATGGAGACCTAATACAGGAGAAACTTCCTAAAATATATACATATATGAAGGCAACCCAAATGAAGTCTCCAAATAATGCTGGAGACAGAGTCCTACCTGGCTATCTCTTGTCACCAAATGAAGCCTCCAGTACAGGGAGTGGGTTACATCTAATTGAGTTGTTGTCCAAAGGCAACCATGGGAATCCTCAAACAACCCAGGGTGTTGTCAAGACTATTATGTAGCTCTCCACAAACTGACAGCTGATAGGAGATGTCATTCTGTAAATATGTTTATCATACTGGTTAATGAATAAAGCACTGTTGGCTAATAGAAAAGCAAGATAGGCGGGACTAGGAGATTAGGAGGAAAAAGGAAGTAGTTGGGAGGAGAGGCAACATGGAGAGACCGGGGAGAGATTAACAGAAATGGGTTAATACTTAAGACAGAGCTAGCCGACAAGAAACTAGTAACTGGCCAACAGAATTATATCAAATACAGCATCTTTGTGTATTATTTGGGGCTGGCGCCGCGGCTCTGTGCGGTGGGACTGGCGGCGGGGGGTGGGGGGGAAACTACTCATAATAGACAGCAAGGCCCCATTGCTGAAGACAACACCTACACAACTCATTGAACCTGGAGATGTCAAGCTGGTGCCTACTTAGAGCCTTCACCCCATGGTCTAGCATCTTTCATACAGGAAGGCACTTTGCATATTACCAAATGTGAAACCAAACACCAAGCCAGCCACAAACCCTTTGATCTACAATGATGTACTATGTGCAAGATACACTAGGGCAATCGTGGCCAAAGTTTGTGAGAGTAATCAATAAGTGACTTGGCTTGACTTCATGAGATGGAAGCTGACGTGCTTGGATTGACCAAGAACCAGAGACTAGGTAGCCCAGGGACCTAGGGTAAAAAAGTAATACTGGTCTTTACAAAAAAGGTAGTGATAACCGAGTGTTGGTGGTGCACACCTTTAATCCCAGCACTTGGGAGGCAGAGGCAGGCAGATCTCAGTGAGTTTGAGGCTAGCCGTGGTCTACAAAGTGAGTTCTAGGACAGGGTCCAAAGCTACACAGAGAAACCCTGCCTCAAACAAAACAAAACAAAACAAAAGTGATAAAATGACTCCTAATGATACTCTGCTATACTCATATAGATCAGTGCCTTGTTCGGCCATCATCAGAGAAACTTCCTCCTGCACCAGATGAGAACACACATAGAGAGCCACAGCCAGACATTACGCAAGAGAGTGAGAAGCCTTGGAACATGCAACCCTAAATGGGATGGCTCCATCAAATCCCTCCCCTTGGAGCTCAGGGAACCCCAAGGAAGACACAGAAAGAGTACAAGGGCCAGAGGGGATGGAGGACACCAGGAAAACATGGTGTCCTCTAAGTCAACAGGAGCAAAGCTCATATGAACTGAGAGCCTGAAGCATATGTACTATGCTCTCGGAAGGATTCTCTTTAACAGTCCCCACCTCTGTGGCCCGCACTTAGGCCCTAGGTTCCTTCTGGGCAAATTCTGCAAGGCTACAGTACCTACACCGCCGCTCACTACTTTCAACAGTTTTGTTCAGAGTCCATTCGGAAAGACAGGTGTCACATTCTGTAATGGAACAAAAGCAATTAAATGGTGAGAAACAGAAAAGCATGTCCTCCGGGCTTCATGCCTCAAGGGGCTGACCGCAAGCAAATTAACACATCCAAGGGAGCGCTCAGGGAGATCGCGTGGTATAAGACAAGTCAAAACAACTGTTTCCTGGTTCCAGAAAACCAGACCGTAGGGTCCCACTTGGGTCCAGAATCTGCTCCCTGCCCTCGCGGAGGCCCGGGGTTAGTGGTGTCACAGGGGCGCATCTTCGTCTGAAGGAAACCAAACGACAGTCCCAAGGCCAGGTTGAGGGTCAGGACTGACGCAGATCTGCTGGAGGGAGGCGGCCCGAACGCTCAGAGGGGTCCAGCCTCTCTGCGCTACCCAGAACCCAGGGGTCGGGAGCCGCAGGATCGCTCACTTGCACCGAGACCCCCCCCTCCACAAGAGCCGGGGCGGGGAAAAGCTACCGGCCCCGCCCCTCGGCTTCTCCGGGCCTCGCGATTGGCTTCGCGGGCCGGAGGCGGGGTCGGAGCGACGAGCTAACGTGGTGGCGTCAGACGCCGCGCGGCGCTTCCTGTTGTCAGTGCCTCAGGAGCCGCAGCTTCTGCTGCAAGGTGTGGGGTCGCCTCGCCCGGAGCGCAGCCACCTGCTCCTGTTCTCTATGGTGAGTCTCGGCCTGGGCCTGGAGGGAGGCGAGGGACGGCGGGCCGTGACGCGAGCCGGCGGTGGGCCTGCTACCTCGCGGCCACTCGCGACCTCTGGGTGCCTTGAGACTTGGGCTGGGAACCTCGGCCCTTCGCAGCCCGGGCCTGTGGCCACCGCAGCCAGCGGCCACCCCGGCTCACCCCTCCGTCTCCACCGCAGCCGACCTCAGCCCTGAGCCGGGTCCCCTTACCGCCGGTCTTGCGTAAGTGTAGCCTCACTCGTGACCCCTGTTTAGCCCGGTTGCAATCCGATCCGAGTCACATCCTTTCGTCGCCCCTTACCTCAACATCACGCTCATCCCTCAGCTCGTCTGAACCTTCCTTCGACACTCCTTTCTGGCTCAGATTTCCTATCGCAGCCTGACTTCCCCTGGCTCAGCCCCGCGAGGTCTGCTCATCCCGAACACCCTACGTCTGTCCCCTCCCGTTGACCCACTAATAAAGTTGAACTTGCCCCTTTCTCGGTGACTGTCATGTCAGCTTTATCGCAAGTCTTGTGCGTATCTTGTCCTTACCGAGTCTTACCCTAATTTCCTAGCTGATCATAGAGGTAATTTCTCTCTGGCATTACCTCGAGGACATTATGTCGCCTAAATCTTTTCTAAACTGTCCGCAACTCAGCTGCCTCAGACTTAATATGTACTTAATTCTTTGAGAATTTCATACATGCATGTAATGTACTTTGATCATATTAATCCCCCTATTCATCCCTGTTAGTTTTTTGTTTGTTTGTTTGTTTGTTTTTTGGTTTTAGCTTTCCTGGAACTCACTCAAACTCATGGAAATCCACCTGCCTCTGCCTTCCAAGTGTTGGGTTTAAAGGTGTGGGCTACTCCTCCTCCTGGCTATGGTTTGTTTTTTGATCCTTTGTTTTCCGTGCAGTAGGGGGTAGGTCTGAGTGTTTGGTTTAGTTTTTTGTCTTTGGTAGTGTTTGTTTTGAGACAAGATCCCTCTAAATAGCCCAAGCTAGCCTTGGACTCCTGGCCCACCCTGCCTCCACCTTGCCTCCACCTCCCAACTGCTGGGATTGTAGCCATGAGCCACCATGCTTGGCTTCCAGGAATTACTGTTAATTAGATCTAACTGACCTTTGTCGTTTCCTTCCTTGATCCAGCTCTCTTTCACTTTGAGAACTTAAGAGACTGCTCCCTACCTGTCATACCTGCTGTTCTTCAACAGCAGAGCCCAGCAGACTGAACAGCAGAATTGGTGTCTGTAAGGACTCAGTTGGTAAATGAGTGAGAGGTTTGTTTTTTTTTTTTTCCCCTGGTTTCTGGCCTCCTGGACATGTCTCCACAGATGGCTTTTCTGGCTTTCATATTAAATCATTTGTGTTTGCTGTTGTAATGTTGGGTGTCATTCAAATACCTGGGAGGTGAGAGATGGCCACTCACCTAGCTCATTCATCCTGGGGCAGTGGAAGCCAGCCCTTCTTTTTGGCTGGTGTTCTGGCAGTAGAGTGCCTCAGGGAGCACTGTGGAGTTGGTTGTGATCACAGAGCCCTGCTTCTGTGTTCCAGCACCTGTGAGGAACAATCCTCCCAGTGCTCCTTTCTGCATAGCTGAATGCAGAACTTTCCTATTGAGTCAGACATGATGGCTGTCGGAAGTGTAAGTCATGAAGAGTACAGATGAGTGGGTCCTGGGTAGGCTGAAGGACTTAGTGGGTCCCTGTAAAATCACTTCTCTTTTTGTAGGTCCTGGTCATTTAGCCTTAGCCACTGGGTTTGTAGGAACATGTAAGGGTAAGTTAACCTGTTAGTAGTTGACGCAGATGGGTATCTTTAAGGTCCTATGCTCAGCACTTATAGGCCCCCTGGGGACTTATGTATATTTCCTCCAGGTTCTGATGGGCTTGCTTCAGGAGGGTCAGCTATCCATGATGCCAGCCCCTCACCCTCCAGCCCCCACCCCGCAGTACTGTCGATTGAATCTAGGATCTTATACATACACTTTCAGCCCTATTAGCAATTGTAAGGGCCCCGAGAGACTATCATTGCCAAAGTGGCCTCTTTCTTTGAAGGCTGGATGCAATTTTGTCTTTAATATCCTCTCACGATGATGCAACCTTCAAAAAGGCTTTTGGCTTATTGACCAAATATCATACTGTTGGGAATTCCCCAGGAGCCCTACCATGTCAAAGAGGTATGCCTCAACTTCCCACAGTCTGTCAAATAGACGTACCTGTGCTGTATACCTCACCTTTATTAAATCATTCAAGAGCGGGGTTTGTTGTTGTTCTTTTCCCTTTTGATTTTTTGAATACCTAGGATGATAGAGCTGAAAGGATAGTTCAGTGGTTAAGAGCACTGACTGCTCTTCCAGAGGTCCTGGGTTCAATTCCCAGTACCAACATGGCAACTTACAACTGCCTGTAACTCCAGGATCCAGCACCCTCACACACAGACACACATATAGGCAAAACACCAATAAAATAAAAGTAAGTTAATTTTAAAAAAGAAAACACAGTGATGAATGAGTTGCTCAGAGTTCTTGTTTTCATTCATTTAGAATATACACATCATTAGAATTCCACAGCAAAGCTAGGTAGAGTGATACCCACCTGTAAGTAACCATAGGTATTCAGGAGGCTGAGAATGGGGAAACTTTCCCAATGAGTTTAAGACCTTTTCTCAAAAATAAAAAAAAATAAGTACTTGGAATATAGCTTAGTGGTAGAGCACTTGCTGAATTATAAGGCCCTGGAAAATATAAAATCTGGGAATAGTTGGCCAGGCCTTGTAATCTCTGCATTGAAAGAGGAGAAAGCGGGAAGTTTGCTTTAAGTTGAGGCTAGCCTAAGCTACACAGTGAGGTCCTGTCTTTAAAACAAACAAACAAACAAACAAACAAAAAAAACACAGAACAAAAACCAAAGACAGTAGAGGGAGAAATCCTATACTGTATGGAACAAGAGTATGGGAGAGATGGGTGGTGTTGAATGAAAGGAAAGTTGGAAAGAAAATGTGTCTGGCAGGGACAGATGCGCTCACCCACACTAGTGTTCTGTCTAGTCTCTCACTCTCCAGCAGTATTTCATTTGAAGCTGTTGCTTCAAAGGCTTGCTCTCTTTACCCCATGCTACCCGTTCAGGGTACTTTCTAGAGATTCAGCTTTCTTCAGAAGGAAGGACATGCTGTTTACTCACTCAGCACTCACATGCCTGAGAGGTCAGCTGCCTTTCTGAATCAGGAGATAATTTTGTCGTTCTTTTCCAACTGAAATAATATGACTCATCAACTGGCCTAGCCATGGATGGCACAAGTGTGTGGGGCAGGGCTGTTCAGAAGGGCCAGATATATGATTCAGGCAGTACAAGGAGGCTGTGGAGTGGCTGAGGTGTGTCTAAGGAGAAGCCCTTGCCTTTACTGATGGGTATAGTGTTTTGAGAGCAGTAGAGCTGTGTTATCCATTCTTTCAATTCTCATCTAAGCCATTTTTCTCTTTTCTTCCTCCAAGTGTAGATGAAGTAAGATGGCCACTATACTAGCAAGAACTAGGACAGGTCCTTTCCATGTTGAACAATTAAAAAAGGACAGTTCTGAAGCTTGGGTGTCATGGAGAAGACCTAGACTCAGCTGGTTGGGGCTGTAAATCTGTCTGGTAAGACAGTGTCTTACTGCCTTTAGTTCTGACTGGTTAGCTTCTGAGTTCTTTTGACCCAAGACAGCTTGAGCTGGAAAAAGGACTAAGGAAACCTGAGATTTCTGTTTCTTACCTGCCTCTACTGAGCCAGTGTGTTCCTCTAAAGTAGAGACAACCATTTCTCACATGACTGTTCTAAGAATTAAACAGAGTTGGAGAATGAGATCAGAGAAGTTTTGTTCATTCTGGAAACCCATGGGAAAGTGAATCAGTGCCTGGGGTAGAGACAAAATTAGTATAAGTTGGGTCTGCCTCTCCCCTGCTAACCTCTCCCCAGTAATGTCGGAGGCCCTCTGGACTGTTGCCCGAGTCTACTCCTTACCCCTTCTGCATGGGTGCCCTGAGAGCCATACTTCTTTTCAGTTTTGCTCTTGGTATCACTGAAGAACAGCTGAGGAGAGGACATGACACCAGTCCTTTTTGAGGTCTCAGCCACCAGGTGGACAGTGGATCCTTGACCCAACAGTCAAAACAACTTCCATGAGCAGATACATTGCTGTCTCCCTGAAGCACTATGGTTTAGACATGAGTAACCAGTGTTTTAGCTTCTTTCAAAGAAGGGTAAAGGGTGTGGTGGTGCACGTCTTTAATTCCAGCACTGGGGAGGCAGAGGCAGGAGGATTTCTGTGCATTTGAAGCCAGTATGGTGGTGGTAAAGGAGTTCTGATAACAGTCTAAACCTGAATTTTTTTTTTAAACCTATTTTCTGAATTGTGAAATGGTTGCTTTGGGCTCCTGAGCTAGTATCATTTTGTGGCTTTTCTGACAAATTCAGGCAACGGTTACTTTTCTCTGCTTGGGACCTGTGTACTCTGACTTTCTTAGCTTCAGTTTATTTTGGTTTAGTTTAGTTTAGGTTTTGTTTTGTTTTAATTAATTGATTTTTATGTGTATGTGTGTGTGTCTGAGTATATGTATGTTACCATATGCTATGGCAGAAGAGGGCATCAGGTCTTCCAAAACTGGAGTTACAACTCCTGTAAGCCACCATGTACATGCTGGGAATCAAATCCTAGACTTCTGCAAGAGTAAGTGCCCTTAATTGCTGAGTCATCGCTCCAGGCCCTAGTTAGGTTTTTTTTCTGAGATGAAGTCTCTGAGTCCAGGCTGGCCTGGAACTTCCTACATGGCTGAGGGTGGCCCTGAACTCAGCAGTCTTCTTGCCTCAGCCTCCTCTCCTGAATGCTGAGATTACAAGAATGAGCCCACCATACTGGAATTTGTGTTTTGTTTTAGTGTGGCTTTGGTTTTATGAGGCAGGTTGTCATGATGATACTGAACTCCTAATTTTTTCACCTCTACTTCCAAATGCTGAGATCTCATGGCACCCTTCGTTTGCTTGTTTTTAAAAGCTATTACTGGGCCATAGTCCTTATTAATAGTGCCCCCACCATGAGTATGCTATACTTTCAGCTAATTAGTTCCAGAGCATTTATTGACATAGGCTGTTATTTATATTGTTGAGCTCTAAACCCTAGGGTCCTATTCACTCTGGCCAAGAGAAGAGCAACTGTCTAGAACAGCAGGGCTGAGAATGAGAGAGGCTTGGGCCCTGGAAATATGGGAAGTATGGAGGCTTGGAGCCTCAGCAGCTGGATCTTGCCTTCTGCACTGCACAAGGGTATTGTGGAAGGAACTCAATCTCCTGGACAGGCATATTGTGAGGAGTGACTGCTTGACCACAGGGCATGCCTTGTTTGCCATCCTAGAAACCAGAATTTGGAGCTGGCCTTCTGAATCCTTGGGAATGCCTAGGGAGGTGGAACAGAGCCTTTGTAGTCAGAGCCAAGACCCCTTCCTGGCAGCCTGTCTCCATGAGAGCCATGCTTCCCCACACACTTGCCTCCCTGGACAAGGCCTGTCTTAGAGGTCCACTCTGGGTCCTGGCTCCTGGCTCCTGGTGCTTTTATTACTGCCATCATGGGAAGGCAGAGATTGGCTTGGTCCCATCATTGAGGACCACCCTGTTTTCTCTTCTTCCTGGGCCTCAAGCTCCACTTCTGACTGGTAAGCCTTGTTTGCCAGACTGGCTTTAGTTAGTGCTCCTTGTGATTGCAGCTGAAGTGCACCCTTCCCAGACCCACTCAAGTTTAGCTCTGAGGTTGGTATTTACTTAGGAGTCTGAGTGGTGAAACCAAACCTCTGCTGTGTGAATTTGTTCCTAGACCTGCTTCAGCTTCCTTGTCCTCTTTCCTCCATCAGGAAGAAGTAATGAAATGGCATTCAAAGGTGAACATAGGAGACATGTAAGCAAGGCAGTCTGTTACCATTCCTTGCTTATGTTAATGTCTTGTGCCCTAATTAAGCTGAAACAGCATAAACATTTGCTCTGTCATGTTCCCTAGAAACTTGTTTGCATATGAATGTGCCTACCTAGCCAGAGAGCTCAGGCTTGGGCCAAGGGAAGAAGGCACCTGGCCTTTGGAATCTTCAACTGTGGATACATACTAAATTGTGGGTAGTGATATTCTTCACTTACATATTTGCGGCTACATTCACCGGAATTACAGAAACCATACCCAAATACATCATGTTCAGACTTTGCACCTGAGAGATAAAATCCTATGCTCCCTTGATCCTGCCTAGTTAGGAGCAAATTGTAGTGACCATGTTGGTCATTTAGACATACATCTGTGACACCCAGGCTAAAGCTTTGCAGCCCAGTGCAGAAGCAGAAGTGTGAAGAGAGTGCTGTCTCCTGCTGCTTCTGCAGGTGTGCTGAAATCCTGGACTGGGTCAGTACAAGACTAGCTTGAATGTGAATTGTGAGGCCCAGCATCTGGTCCCCACCAGTTCTTAGCATTTTCAGGGAAAGCCCCTCCTTCATATCCTGGCAGGCCTTCTGCAATTTTCACATTCACAACCCCTTTTATCTGAGAATTTTTGCATGACCCCATAGGTAGGTATATAAGGTAGACAAATCAAACATTTAATAATAATAAACCATAAATTAATCTATTTAAAGAGGGTCTTTGGCATACATACAATTATACTGTTTATTGAAGATGAAAGCAAATTTGCATACTGATAAGATGGCTGAGCTTGTTTATCAGTCCAATCCAGGCTTTACTAATTTGATACTTACATGCTGAAAAACATTCAAAGTCTTCATTTTAATAATTAAACCATTATGTTTCTAAAAATCAGAAAAATTTGTATTGTAAACACTGCAAGATGTCTCAAATATGAGCTGAGAGCTGGGTGCAATGGTGCCCACGTTAATCCCAGGGCCCAGGAAGCAGAGGCAAGATTTCTGTAAAAATAGCGTTCTAAGACATCTAGAGCTACATAGCTGTCTAAAGGGGGTAAAAAAGAGATTGGCTCAAATCTGGGCTGAGGTTGTTCAGGCAGTGCTTATTGATGATGTATGGTGAATTCCTGTGTAGTGCAAAACATATGTTGCATGTTCAGAACAGCAGTTGAAATTATATGATGCAACTCAACGTGAGTTCTGCTAGAAATACTAAGATTCATTAGACACTGCTTTTAAATTAATTTTCAGTTGGGCATTCAGAAGCGTTTTTCTGCTGGTAAGTTCTTTTGCAACTCCTACATATGGGTGTGCCACTCGATGGGGCTTCAACCCACTGTTGAAGAAGCTTTGCAAATTCCTATCTCATAGGCCCTGGCTTTCTGCACCGGTTTTGGTGCAAAGAGCTCTTGCCTCCCGTTTGTGGTACAAGGGTTTCACCCCTCCCAAGAATGAGCCTCTGGCCTGTTTCCATCCTTAAAATCCAGTCTCAGTTTTTCCTTTGTGTTGCTCAAAGGTCTTTCATTTGCAATTTGAGTGTCCTGGCCTGACTGCGTGCCTGGCTGGGAGGGGACTGCAGTTGTGGGGGTAAATTGGCAGCATACTTATCTGGCCTCCTTCTGTCCTTGCAGGTGTCATGTGAGTCTCCTTGAGAGCTGCTGCCTGAGTGGAAATGCTCTCAGTGGAGAATGGGCTGGACCCTCGGACTGCCATCCAGGTATGTGGGCACAATAGAATAAAGGATGGGAAGGGCTGCACGAGGCCACCATTTCATCACTTTTTCTCTAAAACATTTTCTTTTTAGACAGGGTCTTGTAGTAGCCTACAATGGCCTTGACTCACTTCATAGCAAAGGATAAAGTCTTAATTCTTCTGCCTCAACCTCCAAGGTGCTAGAGTTTCTGGCATGTATCACCATACCCAGATTTCATCTACTTTTCTTATTTTGAAATAAATGAGTATGTCCAGAGAGAGGTTTCAGGTGGAGAAAAATTACCAAAAAAGCAGACTTCCAGGAGCTCCTGACCTTTCTAGATGGCATGTGTGTGGTGGTCAGAGGAAAACCTATGGGAGTCTGTTCTCTCTTTCCATCTTGTGGGTTCTAGGGACTGAATCAGGTCAGGCTTAGCAGCAAGTACCTTTACTCCCACACCCTCTTTGAGACAGGGTCTCTCACTGAACCTGGAGCCTGCTGATTTTGTTAGACTGGCTGAGCAGCAGGTCCTTGGAATTCTCCAGTCTCTTCCTCCCCAGGGCTGAGATTTCAGATGTCACCATGCCCAGTTTTTTTTTTTTTTTTTTTTTAATGTGGGTGCTAGGGATCCCAATTCTGGTTCTCATGCTTGTTCAGCATGCTCTATACAGTTTACTTAAGCCCTTGGTTTTGTCTGAAGCAGCTGTTCTCACTAGTTGTTTCAATAATGGGGGTAAATTGTGTGTGTGTGTGTGTGTGTGTGTGTGTGTGTGTGTGTGTGTATATATATATATATATATATATATATATATATATCCTTGAACATGTACTGTTTTCTAGGAATTTTTCAAGCAAAGACTTGGCCAGTTTAGCAGAACCCCTCCAACAACCTCTTTTCCTGTGCTTGTCCCTGGACTTGCTTAGGCACTCAGGACTGGCTGTCTTATGCTCTTGGAAAGGGAGGAAGTCAGATAGCTTAGGGACTCAGTGGAACCCTGTGGTAGCTTTTTTGGAGCATCCTTTCCTTCCAGTACTGCTCCCAGTTACCAGAACCTTCTATCAACAAGGAGCTTCAGTCCTCAGAGAGTTGCCTTCCCTCTCCTGGCCACTAGAGGGTCAGCTCTACCCATCTCCCTTCTGGCTTCCAGCTAGGCCTTTGCAAGTTATTCTTGTCCCACCCTTGGGTCCTCTGGAGCTGGAGCAGAGCCCTGGTCTCCTAGCAAGGGCTGCACAGACCCACCCCTTGAGGTGTATGTCTGGTTACCTGCATTCCCTGACACAGCACCTGGTAGGCACTCAGTTGGAAATAGTTTATGTTTTTTATATATAATTAATAATATATTTAAAATAGCATTTAAAATTCAACTCTAAGATTAAAATCTTTGCTTCAAAAGGCACTATTCATAAAGTGTTGAGGGAGAGATGAAAAGATACAGTCCACAGAAAAAGAGAAGGTATTATCTCTGATAAAGGTCTAATATCCAAAATATATAGAAACTACTTCAACCCAGCAATTAAAAGATAATGTGGGGGCTTGGAGATGGCTGTTTAATAGTGTGTGCTGGCATGAAGCCCTGAATTTAGATCTCCAGAAACCATAATAGCCAGTCCTAGCAGCCTATGTCTATAATCCCAGTTAGGCAGAGGGTAAGGGCTGACAAATCCTCAGAGTTCATTGGCTAGGTAGCCCATGAATTGATGAACTTAGGTTCAGTAAAAGACCTTGTCTATAAGAATAATGTATAGAACTAAGACACTCAACATTGACGTCTTGCCTCCACACACGTGTGTACTCACCTACATACACACTGACACATATATAAGCACACACACCACACATAAAAACAAGTTATACAGTGTACAAAAATTTCTCCAAAAAAGACATACAGATGAACAATAAGCACACAAAGTAATGCTTATTACTATTAGACCCAGGGAAATGTAAGGGAAAGCCGAGGTAAGGTGCTTCTTCACACCATTAGGGTGGCTGTAATCAGAAAGACAATAGCAAGTGTTAACAAAACATGAAAAAGTTGGGCCTCTCTGGTCATTGTTAATGTAAAATAGTGGTTACTTTGGCAAACAACATAGTGTTTCATAGAAAACTTAAATAGGGCTTTTTGGGTGGTTTTTATTTCTTTTCTTTCTGGTGTTGGGGATGAAATACAGGATCCCATAAATGGAGACATTGCTCTACCCCTGAGCCACATCCCCAGCCTGGCATAGGGAGTATAGGCTTTATGTGATTTAACAATTCTTTGGCTTTTCAGGCAGGTTTTACTATGTAATTTAGGCTGGCCTCCAACTTACTATCAAGATGGCTTCCAAATGCACATGAAAGTCCTCAGCTTTTAAGTGTCTGGACTGCAAGTCTGTGCCATGGAGCTGGCTCTATGGCTTATCAATTCTAGACCTGGAAGCATGTCTGCATAACAGTGTGAAGACAAGCATTCAGAGCAGCACTGTAGTCAGAAAGTGGGAACAAGCCAGACATTCATTTTCTGATGAATGGCCAAGTAAGCATGGTATATCCATGTGGTAGGATATACTTGATTATAAAAAGGAATTAAATACTGATATGTGCTATAATATAGATAAACCTTGAAAAAATGCCAAGTCAGATAAGCTGGACTCAAAGTCATGTGTTGTATGTTTCCATTTCTTTGAAATATCCAATACAGATAAATCTGTACAGGTAGAAAATAGATTATCCTACAGCCATTCCACCCCACCCCCAGGCACTGATACACACTTTCCTTCAGTGGTGTTAAAACTAATGATAAAGGTTGCATAATTCTCTGACTATACTAAAAACCACTGAACTTTACTTCCTTTTCCAGAACTTTCTACATTTTATTGATTTTTAAATTTTCAGTTCAAAGAAATTCAATGAACTCTAAACAGCAAAAATACAATAAAACCATCAAGTTTTGGTATTGTTTGTTTAGGAATGCATCCATGATTAAAGCGATAATAAAAATACGATGCTGGAGAAATGGCTCGGCAGTTAAAGGACACTTACTGCTCTTTTTTCCTTCCTTCCTTCCTTCCTCCTTCCCTTCCTTCCTTCCCTCCTTCCCTCCCTCCCTCCCTTCCTCCCTTCCTTCTTCCCTTCCCTCTCCTCCCCTCCTCTCCTCTCCCTTCCCCTCCCCTTTCTTTTTCTTTTGAAACAGTCTCTCTATGTAATCTAGAACTCACTATGTAGACCATGCTGGCCTCAAACTCACAGGTCCACCTGCCTCTGCCTCCCAGATGCTGACATTGAAATCATGTGCTACCACGCCTGGCCTCACTTTCAGCTTTTGTGTATACAATCTACTGAGTTCATTTAGTATTGCTCTTTTGCATATGGGACTGGATAGCCTATTAGTTCTCATCCCTATAGAAGACTGATTCTCCTCTCAACAGCCATTATAAATAAATCTTTTTTGTTTGTTTGATTTGAGACAGGGTCTCACTATGTAGCCCTGGCTAACATGGGCCTCCCTATATAGACCAGATTAGTCTCTGCCTCCTGAGTGTTGAGATTAGAGGTATGTGCCACCATACTCAGTGTCAATACATTTTTAGAAAAATTAGTAAAAAAAGTTCCTAACCTAAAATTTAGGAATATGGTTATTTCTGGGGAGGACCAAAACCAATAACAAAACAAACAAACAAAACCTCCTAGAAGTTTGTAGTTAAAATGGGAGAATTTAATGTGAATTATATTTTGTTAATTAATTTTTTAATTTTCCAAAGAATACTTCTATTCAGATTAAGTCAAAATAAAAGTGAAATGTTTATCTATAACCTAACACTTGCTACAAATCAGTTTTTCTACAATTCTGTCTAGTTCTTTGCCAACACTCATATGACTTTGATATACTCATAATTATGATTATATACATTTTCTGCTAAATTGATGTACATTTTGTAATGCATTACTTCTATATGTGTACCAGGCACAGTGGCAACTGTTGAGGACACAAGGAGACATTAAACCCAATTTCTACCCTCAAGCAATGGCCCTTGATGAGCATGATGGTTCAGATACTCTCTGAATTTGAGGCTAGCCCGGTTTACAAAGTGAGTTCCAAGACAGCCAGGCCTACATAAACCCTTTATCAAAAAAAAAAAAAAAAAAAAAAAAAAAAGCAACAGATCTCTGAATTTGAGATTAACTTGGTCTACAGTCTACAGAATGAGTTTCAGGATAGCCAGTTCTACAGAAACCCTTTCTCCAAAATAATAATAATAATAATAATAATAATAATAATAATAATAATAATAAATGAATGAAAGAAGAGGAAGCAATGTCCTAATGTTATAGATCACAAAATATTGTTTCCATTAACCTTTAGGGAATTGAGGCATAGAGAATTTAAGCAGAGTGTCTACAAACAGAGCTGGTACTGCCTTTGGCTCTAGGCCTGTGCTCTTAGCTAATGTAATTAGGCATTGGTCTTGACCTTTCCCTCCTCTGTGTTAGGGATCTAACCTGGGGCTTGTGTCTGCTAAGCATACTGTCTACATTGAGCCACACCCCCTAGTCCTTTCTTAGGTTTTGCTCTGAAGAAATATTCTCTGCCTCCTTAGTTTACCTCTGCAGAATGCCCCCGAGCTGCCATAGCTGTGACTACATGGATCTGGTATTTAAATACAAGACTCAAGTTTCATTAAAAAATAAAATAAAACAACAAAAGATTGGGGCTGGAGAGATGCTTCCGTGGTAAAAACTCTTGTTTTTGCACAGGACCTGGACTCACCTATCATCTACATGGTGGATAGTTCACAACCATCTGTAACTCCAGTTTGAGGGGTTTTGATAGCTTCTTCTAACCTCGCACACCAAGCACTCATGTGTACACATACATACATGTAGGCCAAACACTCATACATGAAATAAAATGAATAAATCTAATTTTAAAAAACTATGTGCAAAGTCATTCTCTGTGTGCTGGATCCTCACTTGCCATTGTAGCTAGCTTTGCAGAAGGAGTCTGGGCTTATACACATAGGTGTGTATGTGGTCATACACATTGAAAAGCAGGCTATGGACTGCATTCCCAGGACACACATGGATTTACCCCGAAAGTCTGACCGTGTGTTTGACCTCACTTAGGTCATCAAGAAGAAGCTGGTAGGATCTGTGAAGGCCCTGCAGAAGCAGCATGTGTCTCTGGACACAGTGGTCACCAGTGAGGATGGAGATGCCAACACCATGTGCAGCGCCCTGGAAGCTGTGTTTATCCACGGCCTGCATGCCAAGCACATCCGTGCTGAGGCAGGAGGGAAAAGGAAGAAGCACACGCATCAGAAGCCTCTGCCTCAGCCTGTTTTTTGGCCCCTTTTGAAGGCCGTCACTCACAAGTGAGAGGGTTGGCATCAGGGAGGGGCTTCAGAGTGCGGGGCACTCGACTCTCTTGAGGATGGCAAAGCCAGAAAACAGTGTTCTAGTGTAGGCACTGTGTGAGGTAGGGCTGGAGATGGCCTTATAGAAAGGCTTACCTCCAGACCTTGAGACATTCCACCCTCATCGAGAGCCTGTGGCTGCTTCTCACCCCAGCACTGTTGACCTTTTACTATACTGGGCTGAGGGCTGAGTCATGTAGTAACTGCCAAGTTGTGTGGCTTGAAAAGACTAAAGCATTCCCTGGTCCTTTTAACAGGAAAAGTTTGCTTGCCTTTGACTATTTGAGTTTCTATCATCTAAATATAATTAAAAAAAATTTTTTTGTGTGTGTTTCTCCACATTCATGTCTATGTACCATGCATGTGCCTGGTGCAGGGCACACAAGCCAAAAGAGGGTGCCAGATCCCCCTGGAACTGGAGCTAGAGGTGACCAAGCCACCATGTGGGTGCTGGGAATCAAACCCAGGTCCCTGCAAAAAGTAGCCAGTGCTTTTAACCGGTGAGCTACTTCTCCAGCTCCTGATTCTAAATTTTATCTCATAACAAGTTGTGTCAGGCATTTAGCCAAGAAGCCAAATAGTGTCTGAATATTCACCCCAAGGCCTAACAGCCAGGTGTGGGACCCTTTGTCCTATGAAGTCTGATCAGGTGATAGTCAAGGCCCCATGTATTGCCTGGCTTTGTGACCTAACCAGCTGCCCCTCCACCTGTTGTAATGGGAGCTCTCCCAGTCTCCTGATAGCTCTGCTACTTTTCTGCCCATTGTGCTAAAAGTTTATTCATCTTTCTTTCTGGAATGTCTTCAGGGCCTAACTGAGACACTGCTTTCTAACCAGAAGTGATGGCCCAACCTCTCACTCCACCAACAAAAGGACTGACCTCCATGTATTTCTCTCAATGGCAGTTACCTGGGGCTGAGAGCATAGCTCAGTAGTGTAATGCTTGCCTAGCATATGCAAGGCCCAGGAGTTAGGGGTTGGGAGTTTAACAAGTATGTTGAGTTAGTAGATGACATCTGGTCGCTATAGCTCAACAGCTTAGCTTTTCTGTATTCCCTGAGATGGAACCCTGAGGTGGATTTGCTATGCTTAAGTATGTTTGTGTTTGCAGTACTTATCACTGGTTCTTGCTAAGCAGTGGCTTGAACCATGTCTGAGATTTGAGGTAGTTTCTTGAAACACATCTGCTCTGTCCCCTCTAGACACATCGTCTCAGAGTTGGAGCACCTGGTCTTCATCAATACAGATGTAGGCCGCTGCCGGGCCTGGCTGCGGCTGGCCCTCAATGATGGTCTGATGGAGTGCTATCTGAAATTGCTTCTGCAGGAACCCACACGGTTGTGCGAGTATTATCAGCCCACAGCCCTGCTGCGAGATGCCGAAGAGGGCGAGTTCCTTCTGAGCTTCCTGCAAGGACTAACGTCCTTGTCCTTTGAACTCTCCTACAAATCGGCCATCTTAAATGAATGGACACTTACCCCGTTGTCTCTCTCTGGGCTTTGTCCCCTCTCTGAACTCGACCCTCTCACTACCTCTGGGGCAGAATTACAACGGAAGGAGTCTCTGGATTCAATTTCACATTCCTCAGGCTCTGAGGACATTGAAGTCCAGCACTCTGGTCATAAGATGCCCAGGAACAGGAAGCTCACTGCCTCTTCTCTCAGCCTGGACACAGCCAGTTCATCGCAACTATCCTGCAGCCTAAACTCTGACAGCTGTCTACTTCAAGAGAATGGCTCCAGGAGTCCAGACCGTTCTGAGGAACCCATGTCCTATGACTCAGATCTGGGCCCAGCGAATGCTGATGACTCTGACAGGTCTCTGCAAGAGTGAGTAGCCTTCTCCAACCTTCGCTCTGCTTTCCTGTACACATGATTGTCACTGTACTCTGGTGGGATATGAAGAAGTCGAAGGAGACAAGGGCTCACTGTAACTGAGGAAATAGCTCAGTGGGGAGAATGGATGGATTGCTTTATTTTTGGGGATGGCTTCCCTTTGTAGTCCAGGCTACAGTACCTGGTTCTTCTGAGTGCTGGCATTAGAGGTGTGGGCTAATACTCTCACCTGGAAAATAGATTGAATACTCAGAGTTGGACTGAGTCTTTGGCCTTTCTGAGGTCCATACAAAATATGACTTTTCTATCTAGAAGGAAGGAGCTTGTAGTTCAGAGTGCATATACAACTTCCAGCAAATACGGTGAAGTGGAGTGCATAGCCTGTGATCTTGTAGAACACCTGGCAGACAAAACCTGAGACAAATGGAGGTTAGTGAGTGTAGAGTGTGTAGAGCAGGCTCTCTTAACTCACTTCTTCAAAGAGGGGAACATGGGGCTGAACTCTGCCCTCAACTGCAGTGCTAAGTTGTCTGTATAAAGCTGCATTGCCAGCCTTAGCAGGTCCTTCTCCACACCCCCACACCTCCATGCAGTGCTGGGAATTAAACCTGGGCCTTACATGAGCCAGGCAAGCTCTCTACTCCTAAACCACATTCCCAAGCCCCAGCACTTTTGTGGTTTTATTTGATTTTGTTTATTTTGGTAAGACAGGGTCTCATACACTAGTCCAGGCTGGCCTGGAACTCTTTGATGCTTCTGCTTCCAAGTTCCTAAATGTACCTGTAACAGAAACAGTTGTTTTTGTTACTATTTTTAATTTTCTTCCTATTTCTTCCATTTCCTACAAAAGGTAGCATATTATGGTGCTGGTGTGTCAGGGCCTTTTTATTCTCTTATTATGACTATTCCACTCACTGGACATTGAGTTCAGTCAATTCCTACAAGCACTGATTTGTAGTTTCCACAACTGTTGTCTGTCAACACTGCCAGGAATGTGCCTGTGATCTCTCAGTCATACCAGTGGAAAGTGTTGTCAGGGTTGTGGGTATTCATAATTTTTTTTGTTCCATCTACTACTACTGTGCATCCTACAGCCTTGTGAGAGAAGGGAGAATAACCAGGGACAGAGAGCTTAGTGAGAATAGCAGCATCGGGTATGGGGGTGGGGTGGGGGGGACTTGCCCATATAGAGAATAAATGGCTTCTGGGAGGAGGAAACCCTGGGGAGGTAAGAAGGACTAGGATGCTAGTGTGGACGTAGGAATGTGTAACATGTACTTGTGATATTGAGAGAGCCTGGAGGCCAGTGTGTGCTTTGATATGCAACTACAGGTATATGCATCCATAAGTCCCTTCTGCCAGAGGAAAGGGAAATGACTCCTTTTGGTAGATGAAAACTGGTTTTCCAAGTTCCTGAGGAATGCTGGCTTTTATTCTAACCACCAGAAATCCTCCTATAGTCCAGGTTGAGCTCATTTCTGGGTATTTGGAGTTTCCTTTAGACCCTACAGTGAGTTGCTCATGTGAGAATGGTGGGCTCCAAGGCAGAGCACTAAGTCTATGAGATATGAGATGGCAATTTCAGAAGTCAAGTGAGGGTGTAGATCGAGGACACTGGGGAAAAATGCTGAGGTGGGGTGATACAGCATGACTTAGGCTAGCTCACCTCTCTCAGGCCTTCTCTTTGTCATGTGCCTTGCCTTTAACTCTTCTGAGTCTCATGACTGGAAGATTCCAGTATAAGGTCTTTGAATCAGTGACTGTCCACCCTGTCTTGGAATCACTGACATGGTTCTTATGGGGAAACTAAAAAAGAATTGCGGGTCAGGATGTATAGACAAGCACCAGACAATGAGATGAGTAACTGGGGCATTCACACAGATGCAAATGCAGGGTCAGGGCTGTCATTTGCAGGGCTGGGACTCAAATGTACCCTCTTGGTTGGGGGTGGTATGCTACACCCACATGTATAGGTCAGAGGACAACTTTCAGGAGTTGATTATCTCTTTCCACCATGTGAGTCCCGCAGATCCACTGGCTTCACAGCAAGTGTCTTTACTTGATGAGCTGTCTCCCTGGCCCAGCATTTTTTTTTTTTTTTTAAAAAGACAGGGACTTGCCACATGACCTGGGCTGGTCCTGAACCCTTGATCTTTCAGAGCAGGGTTACAAGAAAAGCACCACCATACTTGGCTTCTTGTTAGCCTGTAAGCTGCCGAGATTAGCTTTTCTAAGTGTGTGTTTTAAAGATAAAAGCTCTTCAGCAGCACTTTGGTTGAGTTTATTCTTTAATGATACTTGAATATTTAAGTTAATTAGGCATAAATATCCTGTCCTTAATGTCAACTCTTAAAACACCTGCAGGTTGAAAAAAAGTTCAAAACATGACATCAAAATGAAACTTTTTCACTTGCTATAAGGGGTTCTGTTTTGCAGAAAGTAAATTGCAGCTTGCCTAGTGAACAGAGGGCACGAAGGTCTGTGTTATGGTTATGGAGGGTTGTGAATTCAGGCACTAAACTGCCTGGGTTGACCATTTACCAGCCTTCTGTTTCCTTAGCATCATCCATCCCCTCTGGCTCTTACAATCTTTCCATTGCAAAACTCTGACAGTATTTGTCAGGTATCATTTCTCTGTGGGGAATGACTCAGCTGTGGAGCTCACCTCTGTACTTTCTTCAGTGGCCCTTACCTTAGCTGTGAGACAGAATCACACTCCACTAGCATGAGGATCAGGGAGTCCAAACCCTGCCTGGCTTGGCAGAACTGTTCTCTAAGGCGTCATTTACACACCTTTGTGAACACCCTTGTCCAGATGCACAGACAGGAGGCCTGGGGGAGCTTGGTTGATAAAGTACTTCTCCTGCCTGAATTAGGTCCCTAGAACCTGTAGTGAAAAATCTGGGAATGGTGGTGCCTATTTGTACTCCCAGTGCTCTGGAGGCAGGAACAGTGGATCCCTGGGGCTCACTGGCCAGCCAGCATAACTTACTAGGCTAGCTCCTGCCTCAAAAAACAAAGTGGATGATGTTTGAGGAATGACACTTGAGGGTGCCCTCAAGCCTGAGCACACACTTGTACCTGCATATACATGATCTTCCCATCTCTCCCACACCCACCAAAAAGGGAGGAAGAGAAGAACTCAGCGTTTCCCACTCCCTAGAAGTCACATTCTTAGATTTTGCTTGAGTTTTTTTTTTCCTTTTGGGTGGGAGAGACAGTACTGGGGGTTGAACCTAGAGTTCAAATTTATACTAGGCAAACTCTACTACTAAGGTATATCCCAGCCTTCCTGGGTCTCACTCTGTAGCTCTGGCAGCCCTGGAACTCACTGTTAGACAAGGTTAGAGTCAAACTCAGACATCTGCTTGCCTGTGTTCTGTGATTAAAAACATTCACCCCCATGCTGAACTATTTTTTTGAAACAAGGTCTCCCTAGGCTGAGGGTTCTCCCTGAACTCACTGTGAAGTTCAGGCTGGTCTTGAATTTAGGATCCTGCCTGGGCAGTGTTAGAATTACAGGTATGAATCACCAGACTGCACTCCTTGATTTATTTATTTATTTATTTATTTATTTATTTATTTATTTATTTATTTATTTTTGAAGTGGCATCTCATTTTGTAGTGTTGGTTGTCCTTTGAATTCACCATGTAGATCAGGTTAGCCTTGAGCTCAGAGATGCACTTACCTCTGCCTACCAAGTGTTAGCATCAAAGGCCTTGAGCCACCATGCCTGGCTTGATAAATTATCCCCTCACTCATGCCCCCTCCCACAACAGAATAAAAAATAAGTAACATTAAAAAAAATTTCATTTTGGCATTTTCATACATGCATATGTGTTTTGATCACATCTCTCTTTTATTATACCCTCTTGCTTTTCCTTTTTCCCCAGGTTTCTTCCTTTTCCCATTCAGCATTCCTGTGATTTTTTTTTTCCCTTTCTGTTTTCAATGTCTTTTTTTAAACCTAGATCCTACATGTGAGAGAAAATATACAATACATGTCTTCCTGAGTCTTAGTTCTCATAATGTAATTGTCTCCTATCCCATCCATTTTCTCTCTAGCCTGCCACCTGTCTTTCTTATGAAGGTAAGATATCAAGTTCACACATCATAAAATTTAGGGTTTTTTTTTTTTTCCTTTTACATTTTTTGAGACAGGATCTTATTATGTAACCGACATGGAACTTACTATATAGACCAGACTAACCTCAAATTCATCACAATCCTTCTGCCTCTGTTTCCCAAATGCTGGGATTACAGGCATAAAACAAACGCCCAGTTGCAAGATCATTACTGTGTAACTCAAGAACATATTTATTGTCAGGGAAGGAAAAGGCAATGCATTGCTCTTTGTTTGCCTCTTCTGGACATTTGTACAAACAGAGCCATGTAATGTGTGGCCTTTTGTAGCTGGTTTCTTATACTTGGAGTAATATTTTCAGTTCATCCACATCAGAGCATGCATCATGTCTGAATAATACCCCATTTGGTGCATCTGCCACAATTTGTTCATTCAGGGAAATGGGTTGAACAGATAATGGTTAATAGTTGTGTCCAGATTTTGGCTGGATGTGTTTTGATTCTTATAGGTGTGGACCTGGAAAAGAGTTGCTGGGTCTCATGGAATTCTGTTTAACTTTCTGAGGAGCTACCAAACTGCTTTCTATAGAAACAGTACCACTTTACATTCTCACTATTAACAAGAACTCTTGGCTAAATAGCAAGTTAAGACTCTGTCTACAAAAAATAAATTTTAAAAAGGTTAATTTCCCTAAATCTTTGCCAACTCTTATTATTCTGTTTTTTATTGTGGCCATCCTAGTGAGTACAAAGTAGTGCATTTCCCTGGTGGCCAGTGATACTGACTGCCTTACCATGTATTTACTGGAGATATCGTCACTGAAGTATTTTCGATCTCTTTGCCCATCTTAGCTTCAGTTATTTGTCATTTTATCGCTGAGTTGTAAGAATTCTGATATATCCTGGATATTGGATAGTACAAGTATTTCCCCCTGTGTTGTAAATTGTCATTTCTATCTTTCTTCCCCTCAGGATGGCAATCAAATCCAGAACTTTGCATATAATAAGCAAATGTACTACCAAACTGAGCTGTACATACCAGCTCACAGTCTCCCTTTTTTATTGTGTGAGTTGTGTGTGTTGCTGTTTTGTTGTGTTGTTGTTTTCAGACAGGGTTTCACTTTGTAGCCTGGAACTTACTATGTGGTCCAAGCTGATCGCAAGATTCGTAATCTTCTTGCCTCAACCTTCCAAGTTTTGGAATTTAGGTGTGCACCACTCCATGGAGGCTGGCTTCACTTCTTTTGTTGTTTTTGTTTGAGACAGGGTTTCTCTGTGTATCCCTGGCTGTCCTGGAACTCTCTGTAGCCCAGGCTGGCCTCACACTCAGAGATCCACCTACCTCTGCCTCCATAGTGCTGGGATCAAAGGTGTGCGCCACCACCACCTGACCACTTTTTTGCTAGTATTTTGTGAATCATAAAAGTTTTATTTATTTGTTTGTTTGTTTGTTATTTATTTACGGCCAGGAATGTTGGTGCATGCTTATAATCCTGTCACTCAGGGAGAAGGATCAGCTGAGTTATCTGGCAAGACTGTCTCACACGGAGAAGTTTTTAATTTTGATGAAGTCCAGTTTATGATTTTGTGTAAGGAGTACGGTTTTTCCACCCGCCATCCGGTCTTGTCCCGCCGCCACGCCATCCCTAAATAACACACTGAGACTCTGTATTTGATATAATTCTGTTGGCCCGGTACTAGTTTCTTATCGGCTAGCTTTGTCTTAAGTATTAACCCATTTCTGTTGATCTATGTATTTCTCTTACCAGGGAGCTGGCCGGCATTCTGCTTTCTCCAGACTCTCCATCTTGACTCTCCTTTCTACTTCCTCTTTCTCCTTGTCTCCTACTCCCTCCTACCTTCCTTTCCTATTGGCCAACAGTGCTTTATTCATTAACTAGTATGAGAAACATATATACATAATGGCATCTCCCATCATCTCCTCTTTTCTGTCTAAATAAAAAGAAGGGTTTTAACCTTAACATATTAAAATATATCACATAACAGTTCTCAAATAAGAATCACAGTTAACACTATTTAGTCCATTAACATTTAGCAAGATATGAAGAAAATATTTCATCATCTATCCTATCTTTGTGTGTCTAAAGTCTAACTAACTTATCTTTAATCCTAACTAAGGAAAACTATAACCATAACAATCTGTCTTCAACTCCTTCAAAGACCACAGAAGGATAATATATAAACTCTAGAAATGACAGAGACAACTCACTGCCTGGTCACCTGAAGTTCTTTTGTAATCTTCCATCTTCAGCCCATAGGCCATAGTGTATCTGGCAGACTCTTCAGCAAAGCAGGAAACTTTAAACTGTCTTCTTGTATTGGCAGTTTGTCAGCCACTTTTCTCTGTGTCCTGCAGACTGTCTGGCAGACTCTTCCATGAAGCAGGAACTCTGTAGCAATGTCCATCTTGAATCAGCAGTCACTTTTCTGTGGGTCCTGCATGTCCAGTTTATACAGCATAAAGTCAAACAGTCCAGACAAGAGCAGTATCTTGTCCAAATGGCTAGTCTTGACATATTGGAAGTAAACTCCATAACGAGTTTCTTCAATGTCCATCTTCCTTTTTGACGAAGGTGGTGTAGCCAGGAGCAGTTGTGCCTCATTGTAAAGAAAAACCCTAAACCATTTTAAATGCCATATTCTGTAGGCCTTTGAAAGGTTTAAAGAATTCCTATCTATCTAAAATACATCTTTATATATCTAGAAAACCTAACTAACACTATAAATTTTGACTACTATAGGTAACTATCTATAATCTGTACTAAATTATACGTTACATTTCTAAATGAGCTATATAAACACAATACCTAAACAAGAGGAGAAATATACATATCACAAAATTGACCTTAAATTGTATCAATAAATGAAAATCCATTCCAAAACAAAGTAATCAATAAATGAAAATCCATTCCAAAACAAAGTATTCATATCTATACCATAATCCCCTTTTTACCTTTAAAAAGAATTGGCTGTGATCATTAGCCATTTATAACCAAGTCCACTTAAATGAAAACAAACATTTATAAACAATATTTGGGAATTTGGGCGTCGTTCTTTCCAAGCTACTTCCTGCTGATAGGGGGCGCTTGCCTCTGTCTCCCGAGTGCTGGGATTAAAGGTGTGTGCCACCACACCCAGCTCCTCACTCTCTTTTTAAAACCATTTTATTTCTTTTCTCTCCCAAGCCTACATATATTTTAAAACACACTGTAAACCTTTAGAGGCTTTTTTTTTTTTTAAATATGAATCTGTCTTTAATGTAAATCTTTATCTTTTTGTAGCCACGAGTCTTTTATCTGGTAAACAACAACATTGCTGAAATGAAAGTCATAGTTGTTCCTGCCATGGTTTACCAAAGATGGCGGCGGATACCTTTACCACCAGCAATGAAAGCTGTGGTCACTGCCCTGGTCTACGCGCAGCAAGCAGCAGGTTGCCGGCTTGGAGATATAGTCACTGCCATTGCCAGTTCTGATACATACCAATAAATTGTTAACAGTGCTTTTTAAAAGCTGTGCGGGTTTTTTGCCGCTTATGCTGAGTCAGGAACCTTCCCTTAAAGGAGCCGCGTGAATATCTGCTTGTCTCTCGCAAAGCAGAGTTCAACCAAGAAAAGTGCTGCTACCAAGAAACTTTGTTTGTCTCTGTTCTTTTGTTTTTAAAACCATTTTTAAAGCTTTTGTTAAATTTTAAGTGGAAGTTCTTACTAGCCACGTTGGGCGCCATATGTAAGGAGTACGGTTTTTCCACCCGCCGGCCGGTCTTGCCCTGCCGCCACGCCATCCCTAAATAACACACTGAGACTCTGTATTTGATATAATTCTGTTGGCCCGGTACTAGTTTCTTATCGGCTAGCTCTGTCTTAAGTATTAACCCATTTCTGTTGATCTATGTATTTCTCTTACCAGGGAGCTGTCCGGCATTCTGCTTTCTCCAGACTCTCCATCTTGATTCTCCTTTCTACTTCCTCTTTCTCCTTGTCTCCTACTCCCTCCTACCTTCCTTTCCTATTGGCCAACAGTGCTTTGTTCATTAACCAGTATGAGAAACATATATACATAATGGCATCTCCCATCAATTTTGACTGGTTGCTTATGGTTTAGATGTCATATCTGAGAATTACCTAACTCATTATTTTACATAATGCAAAGATGCACTTATATCAATATTTTCTTCTAAGAGTTTTAGCTCTCACATTTAGGTCTCTATCGATTTTTTTTTTTTTTTTTTTTTTTTTTTTTTAGAGTTTGTATATGGTGTGAGCTATAATTCTTCCATGTGATTGGCCCCTTTTTGCAGCACCATTTGTTGAAATGTTCTGGCATCCATGTGAAAATTTGTAACAGCTTGGTTTGGTGACACCTGCTGACTCTATTTTCTTGGAGTGTCAGTGGGATTGGGATGGTGTAGGCAAGAGCGGAACTCTGGTGAACAGGGAAACACTTTGCATTCTAAGATCAGCCAAAATTAAGGGACACCTACTTCATCCAAGCCAGTGTGGTGAACTCAGACCATCTTTAGACTCCAGGCAGCCTTCTGAACCAGCATTTATCCATAGCATTCTGGTTTTGTAAATAGAAGAGGAAATAACAAATAGTTTGTTTTTAAAAGGTAACTTGGATTCCCAGAAGCTCAGGAGAGGGAGGAGCAGTCACTAGCCTGGGCACATTCCAGAAGGCCCAGAAGTATACATATATGTATATCAAGGCATTAATGTTGACTCAGTGGCCCCTCTGAGGGGACAAGGGACAGTTACTCTACAAAGAGACATTAGTAAGTTACACCCTGTGTGCTCGTACATACCTTTCCACACCATGTGGGAAATCACTGGGTTCCAGCAGTGGTTTGGAGGACCTGAAGCTTCTCTGTATCTAGTCCCCTTTGAGGGTGGACTTTGAGGACTTGGTGCCCCTGACTGTCCTCACTTCACTATCCCTTATTTCAGAGAGCAGATTCTCAGTGCCTCAGCTCTTAGCTGTTGAGGAGCCCCCTCTAAGGCACCACGTTTGGCCAAGTGAATTCTCTAGGGCCACAGTCTGCTATGGGAATGAGCCACCTGAAACGGGGCTCCAACAGCTCACTTGCTCACCCACTGTGCCCCAAGTCCTAGTGTCAGTGAGGAGCATCAGAAGAGGCCTATGTGGGAGCTGAGGAATGGAGTAATTAGAGAGTGTTGTTTGGTTTGGTTTTAAAATAATCAGCAGCTTTCTACTCTTACCACTGCTCCAGTAGCAGTGGACATCCTAGCCACCGACTTGTCACACAGGTTTGTTTGTTTAAAAACTTCTAGGGTGTTGTCAGAATTCAGAAAAGCCCAGGTTAACTCTGTGCCAAGCAGCGGACCAAGCCAAGAGACAGAGACCTCCACGCTCCAGTCCCCTCTCTCCCTCCACAGTGCAGCTACCAGCACACATCTGCGCTTAGAGAGGCCTGCGGAGCACCTTCCTGCCCGCGCTTCCTCTGGGACCCCAAGTGGTGGCCACAAGCATCATCTACTTCCCCAGGAAACCCCAGATGTGCAGCATCTGGGCCCTCCCCAAGCTGCCCCTGCAGGGAGCACTTCAGACCAGCAGCCTTCAGGTCTCATGGGCGGAACAGCAGGCCAAAGGAGTGGTCAGCCGAAGGCCCTGCAGTATGGTGGAGTTGGGCCGAAGCTCGTGGTTTCCTCTCCTACCAGTCCGGTGAGTGTGAAGGCTGTTCAGGGGAGTCTCAGGAGTGACTCAAAGCTGAAGTGTCCCCATCTGGTGCCGTCTTGTTAGCTTTCCTGTTCCTCACTGGGACAGTATTAGCAACATGGTAATGAGGAGCTAATGTGTCTTGGTGTGTCAGTAGTGGAGATGAGCCAGGTATTATAAATATTTCTTCTTGTCTTCATAACCACTCCATGAAAAAAGTGATCCCCATCTAATACCACACTCTGTTTGAATTTTTTTTTTTTTTTTTTTTTGTATCTGTTTTTAAGACAGGGTTTCACTGTGTAGCCCAGGTTGGCCTTCAACTCTGTGCACCTCAGGTTGGCATCTGACATGTGATCTTTCAATACTGCCTCAGCCTCCCAAGTGCTGGGATTACCAGTGGCCAATCTCTGTCCCTAAGCTGCCACCATTTATTAGTTTATGCCCATGGAAAAGCCATTTCACATGCCTGAGACTTGATTTTCTTCTTAATACTTAAAATTAAATTTTCATAAGATCCTGAAATATACTGAATATACTGAAATATCCTCTGAAAATACTCACTTTTAACATGGACTAGGTCATGAACCTTGTGGTCAAATGTGGCAGTCACTAAACCAACAGTGGCTGTTGGGCACTCAAATGTGTCCTGTCCCCAGATGGCCATGGTCATGTAAACCTATAATCTCAGTGCTCTGAGGTGGAAGCAGAAAGATCTTGAATTTAAGGCTATATAGTGAGATACTGTTTCAAGAAAAAGAAAGAAAAATGTGGCCAGTCTAGATTTAGATGTGGTACATAAAATAAGCACTGTTAAATTGCTTATTGGGGTCTAATTCACATACCATGTAGAAACATAATTCAGTGAATTTTGGTTTATTTATGATTGTAGAGCTATCAATATGATATAATTTTAGAACATTTAAATCTCTCATTTAAAGAAACTTTATTAGCAGTGAATCTCCTCAAGCTCAGATAACCACTGCTTGATCTCAATAGACTTGTTTGTTCTGGATATTTCATATAAATGGGATCGTGGTTTTGTGACTGGCTTCAGCTGTTTGTGTATATGTGCACACATATGTGTGGAGCCCAGAGGTATGCTACTGCATCCATCCTTTTGCATGGGTGCTGAGGATCCTAAGTTAGGGCCTCATGTTTATGTGGCAAGCATTTTACTGATTGAGCCATCTTCCCATGCCCCTAAGTATGATGTTTTAAGAATTAATTCAGTTGAGTGTGGTGGCTCATCTCTATTATCCTAGCACAGGCAGGAAGATCATGTGACCAGCTTAGTAAGAAGAACCTACTTCAAAAATAAGCCAATAAAAAGGTTCACCCATGTTACAGCATATATCAGTTCTTTATCCCTGTTACTACTGAGTAATAAATACCCCATCGTATTTTCCATTGTATGACTAAGTCATGTGATATATGTTGATGGCAGTTGGATTATTAACACTTTCTGGATATTACAATTAATGTTATAGACATGGGTGTCCAAGATTTAGTATGGGCATATGCTTCTAATTCTTTTAGATACTTAAAATTATATTAGTAGAATTTTTGGATCATATAGTAACTCTATTTTTAACATTTTGTGGAACTGCCAAATTGTTTTCCAAAGCAGCTGGCCTAGTTTACATTTCCACCAATGTGTTTCTCAGCATCCTTACCAACAGTTGTAATTATCTAGTTTCAAATGAATCTATTATTATAGCCATCCTGGTGGATGAAAAGTGGTAGTTCATGTGTGTTTAATCTGTATGTTTCTGGTGATTAAAGAATGTCCTTTCATTTGCTTATATAAGGCCACTTTGTCTTTTGTGAAGCACCATCACATTTTATTTTGTTTTAATTTTTATTTTATGTGTATGGATGTCTTACATGCATGTATATATGTATACTACATGTGTTCCTGGTGTCCACAGAGACCAGAGAAGGACATCAGATTCCCTAGAACTGGAGTTACAGGTGGTTGTGAGTCACCATGGGTGCTGGGAATCAAACCAGGGTCCTCTGGAAGAGCAGCCAGTGCTCCTAACCACTGAGCCATCCCCCCCCAACCCATTCTTAAAATGAATTCATGTGCTTTGGTTTTTGTTTGTTTTGTTTTTTGTTTTCTGATTTTTGATACAGGGTCTCTTTTAGCTTATGCTGACCTCATATTGATCATGTATTGAGCCTAAAATGACTTTGTATTTCCGATTCTTCTGCTTTCACTTCCCTGTGTATGAGGTAGCAGTCAATTTTATCTATTGACAGAGCATTTGTGTGCATGTGCAAGTGTGTATGTGGCCACTAAGTGTGTTACAGCACACAAATGGAGGTCAGAGGATATCTTCTGAGGGTCAGTTATCTCCTTCCACCATGTGGTTTCTAGTGATTAATCTCAGGTTGCCAGGCTTGGCTGCAAATTCCTTCCCCACTAAGCTGCCTCTCTGGCTCCAATTTGTATTTTTCTATATAGACATCTGCTTGATCTACCTCAAAGTATTGAATATGACTATGAAAATCATGTAACTGCATAACTGGGTCAGATTCTCTGTATTTCCCATTTTGAAGATATACCAGATTTATTTCAGGAAGATGTATTTTCTGAGGCCTTAAGTAGGCAGTCATGAAAGTATGCTGAAGGTTGGAAGGTCTACATCTCCTGCCTCAAACTGCAGAGAGAAGGATGCTTTAAGAAGTGGCTGTCTGTGTCTAGCTGAGCTTCCAAATGTGGCCTTGATCATGCAGAGTTCACCCTTGCCTAGGGTCTGGCTTCTGCTTTGCAGGCTCAGACATGGTACCTCATCACAGACATGGTACCTCATCATAGACATGGTATTCATCACCTCTTAACTTAATTCTTCCCCATCCACAGTTTTTTGACCCTCTAGCTTCCCATTAGTTCCCTAGATAAAACAAGTTCCTTATAGGTTCCAGTTTTTACAGTAACTGTTTTTTTATGCCTAGACCCTTCCTGACTATCCCCTGTGCCAGGACCCTTCCTGACTGTCCTCTGTGCCTCAGTGTTGTCCCAACCTTCTCTGACCTCCTGGGTCTGGAAAGTACCGTCCCTGTTACTGTCCTTGTTATCTGTTTGTTCTACCTTGTTTAGAAGGTAGAATTCATCATTTCCTTTTTGGTTGTCTTTTGTTGTTGATAGGAGTAGGCTAGTCATCATCAAGCTTTTAAAGCCCTGAGAACCATTCTGCCTTTCTTTTTCAAATGTTTTGTTTGCAAATCATTCAACATAAAGCATTGACTGTGAGCCAAGCTCCATGACAGATGCTAGGGATACAGTAATGAAACAGGACAGACAAGAGCTCTGGCCTTTGGAGACAGTCATCAGATTAGATACCTGATGATGTACATTATAATTACACTAGAGCTATGTGCTAGGGAGGAAGGGCGTAGGGAATGGGGAGCTCTTGGGGGTGACTAAACCTGGCCTAATCACTATCCCACACACTGTTTGTGGCATGGGATCCCCCCTGCAGTTGTACATACAGGCAGTCCCCTTGCTTAGCATAATAAAGACAGCCTGAACAGAAAGTCCAGTCCTTTTGAAAATGGTCCTGAGAGCATTACATTCCTTAACTATAGCATCCTGACGCCTAATAATTCAAGGCGGCATTCCTCTGACTTGGATCCCTAATGGCAGATGCTGCTCAGATGTAGATCCCAGGTCAGTGGTGATCTCCTCACAGTTTGAAGGAACAGAGCTGGCAGATTTATGACCCTGAACAAGCAGATGTGGGAGGGTGGCAGAATGAGGCAAGAGGAAAAAAAAAAGGGGGGGGGGACTAGATAGTGGATCATGTGATTGCCATGACCCATTATTCTTTTTCTACCTCACCCCATGAGGCAAATAGATCCTCAGTGCTTTCTCAGTGGAATCTGCTCCACTGTTTCTCATTGTTGTTTGAGAGGAACAGAGCCATTCTCTACAGAATCATCTCACAGTGGCTGCTTTGAGGTCAATGGGCTCAGAACGTTTCTTAATAGTCTCCCTCTCCTCAGTGGATAGAGAAGCAAGCCCCCAACCCACCTATACATCCACAGTTGTCACCATCCCTCCTGATCCTTCCACCCACCTCTGTTGTTTTACAGTGACAACATTTGGGTAGTCAGGAGTTAGTTCTTTGGGCTGGAAGATGGCTCAGTGAGTCAAAATACTTGCCACACAAGTCTAGCGACGTAAGTGTGGTCACTGGAACCCAAATAAAGGTGCATAGAGAGAACTGACTCCACAGAGTTCTTCACACACTTGTGTAAATGAAAATAGTCTCCTGTCTTTCATGACTCAATGCCATGTACTTTGCTTGACATTATCCAGAAAAATGATAGTTCGGAACAGCCTTATAGGATGAAGGTGAGCAGAGGATATCACCCAGCAGGGTGATATGCTTCCTGGGAGGCTTCCAGAAGGTGAGAGGTGACCCCTGGTGGAACCCTAAGAGATAGTGCCCTCTCTTACTAGGGCTTGCACAGTGCAGGATCACCAGGTATGTATGAGGTCACTAGGATAGCCAGGTGGCTCCTGGGACCCATTCCTCACATTCATTTTCCTAGGGGAATCATCTAGGTTTTGGTGACCCAGACAGTCTTTGTTTAGACCAGTTTTGCATGGTCCCTAGCAGCCACCCTGACTGACACATCATCCTGTTCCTAATGGAAGGAAGTGCCTGCTAGCTCTGAAAGTCACATGAAGAGGCTCTGGGGGCCCCAATCTGGAGAGCTCCCCCAAGTGCCTGAATCAGAACTCGCCTTTCATGGCTTCAGGAGTCTTGTTACAACTGAATGTATTAAACTGTCCAACCAGCCTTCTGACATAGCCCTAGCCTGAGTCCGCTTTCCTGCCTACATCAGCAGGGAAGGCATTCTTGATTTAGGGGTTAGAAATAGCAATGTCAGAGTGAGATTGGTAGCACTTAACAGAGCAGTGGGGTGGATCCTGCCCTTGCGTGACTCATTTCCTTTGTATAGACAGCCACGTAGTGCAGCCAGCCAGCTTCCTTGCCTCTGCTCTTCCATGTTCCAGTGTAGAAAGGCAGAAGAAATTATAGTAGTGAAAAATAGGAACTAAGAAATATTCTCACAGGCCGCCTGGCTCCAGATATCCCCAACTTCCCCTGTCAGTGAGCAGCTTCAGACTTAAATAGTACACTGGGGGAGGGGAAGAGGACCTCCTTGCTAGGGGCTTCAAGAACCTTCTCAATATGGGGAGCAGAATTAGAAGCAATAATTTAGGACTAAACCCTGTATACCATACCTCTATCACCCCAAATCCCCAAAACCAAAGAGCCTGAAGTGCCGAGCAAGACACCTGTATTTCACCTGCAGGAGAATCAAGTTACACCCCTTCCTTACATCTTACACAGAAGTTGACTTAAAATGGGTCACAGATATGTAAGAGCTAATAAAGAAAGCTCTTAGCAAAAACGTAGGAGTAAATCTTGGTGACATTAGTTTTAGCAGTGGCTTCTGAGATAAAACAGCAGGAGCACAGACAGAAGGAAAACTGGCTAAATTGGGCTTGAAATTAAAACATCTGCGCTGCAGAAGGCACCATGAAGAAGGAAAACAGAAGCTGGGCATGGGGACTCAGGCCTGTAATCACAGCACTCAAGAGGCTGCCGCAGGAGGCTGGTCCAAAGCTGGCCTGGGCTATGTAATGAGCTCTAGACTAACCTTGGCTATAGACAGCGTCTCAAAAAGAGAGGAGGGAGAGAGATAAAGAAAACAATAAAAGACAGTGTAGAATAGGAGAAATTATCAGTCATTCAGAAACCTGATATGATTCTGGTGTTCAGAATCTGCCCAGAATGCTTGTAATTTTTGTTGGTTTTCTAAAACAGTTATCACGAAGTACCATAAGTCTGATGGACTAAGACAGCAACTGTGTATTCCTCAGTAGTACCAGAAGCTGAGTACAGAGCCAGATGTCCATGAGGTTGGTCCTTCTGCAGATTCTGAGGAGGAACTTCTTCCCTGTCTTTCTTTCCCTTCGTTCTTAGTATTCTCGGCATCACTCCACTCCACCCCTCCATGATCCCATGCTTCTCCCTCCACTTGACATTCTCCTCTGTGTGTGTCATCTCCTTTTTTGTTTGGTTTTGCGCCAGAGTCTGGCCTGGAACTCACTGTGCACACCAGGCTGCCCTGAACTCATAGAGATCCGCTTGTCTTTGTCCCTAGAGTCACAGGATTGGAGGCGTGTGACTCTATGTCTCCTCTTATAAAAACATCTGTTGTGTTAGATGAAGGGAAGGCTCTAATACAAGTGCATCTGAACTAATTAAATTTGCAAGTACTCTGTGTCTAAACAAGGTCACATTCAGAGGCTGGAAGCTAAAGTCAATCCTAACAACAAAACCATAAGCCCAATTAAAAATAAAAATCCAAAGAAAAGATAGTGGTAACCAATATGAAAAGATGTCCTCTTGCCGTTAGACATTAAGGAAATGCAAATCAAAACCACAGTGAGACACTACTTCACAGGCCAGCATGGCAGAAAGACTTAATGACAGAAGTTGGAAGAGTTTAGAAGGATACTGGAGAGCTGGCGAGATGCTCAGCAGGTAGATAAAGCTGCTTCCCACTCAAGCCTGGCAACCTAATTCTGATCACCAGAGCTCACATAAAGATGGAAGGAGAAAACTGAAGTTGTTCTCTGACCTCCATGTGCACAAACCCCCCTCCCTTTAGTAGTATCAGCCTCATACATTGCTAATGGGAATGTAAAATGGTAATGTAAAATGGTATAGCCACTTTGCAAAACAGCACGTTAATTTCAAGTTAAATATGGAGTTCAAGCATGATCTACCAATTCTGCTCCTAGGTGTATGCCAAGAAAGAGGGCGTGGGAGATAGACAGGTTTATTTGTTTTGTGAGTGATGAAAATATTCCAAACTTAGATGGTTATGCACCTCTATGAGTATACCAAAGATGTGGAGTTGCACACCCATTTTTTGGTGTGAGCCTAGCCTAACCGGCTGAGCCATCTCTTCAGCCCTGCACACACACATTTTTTAAAGTTGTATTTTGTGTGTATGTGTATGTGCATGCAGTTGCCCACGGAGGCCAGAAGAGGACATCATTTATAGATTTTCCTGGAGCTGGAGTAACAAGGGGGTCACCCAGTGTTGGTGCTGGGAACCAAACTTTGTTCCTTCACAAGAGTAACAAGTGCTCTTAATCTCTGAGCCATCTCTCAAGCCCAATGTGCATTCATATTTTTTATTCTATTATATGTGGACTAACAACAATATTTATAAACATTTTTATAACTCTTAAAAGACTGCCATACTTGATAGGAGATGTCATTCTGTAAATATGTTTCTCTTATTGGTTAATGAATAAAGCACTGTTGGCCAACAGGAAAGCAAGATAGGCGGGACTAGGAGACAAGGAGGACAGAGGGAGAAGTAGGGAGGAGATTCAAGATGTAGGTCGGGGAGAGCAGAATTCCGGCCCCTCTCTCCAGTAAGATAAGACCACGTGGAAATACTTAGATTAATAGAAATGGGTTACTATTTAAGACAGCTAGCCAATAAGAAATGCTAGTAACAGGCCAACAGCTTTATATCTAATATAGCGTCTCTGTGTGTTATTTGGGGCTGGCACGGCTGTGGGACCAGACCGGTGGAATGGAAAAAAAACCTACTCATAACACCCACTATTTCTTTTCTTATAGAAAAACAAAAGCTGGATCTCTGAAGATGACTTCTGCCGACCTCCCCAGGAGCATGCTCCCAAGAGTTCTTCTGACCTCTCCACATCTCCTTTGCAAGGGACTCCAGAGTCAAGGCCTGCTCTGCAGAGGTGTTTTTCTCAAGGACCAAGAAAGAGCTGTTCCCTGGGGGCATTAGACAAAGCATGTGTACCTTCACCAGGCTGCGGGAATGCCAAAGCAGCCCTGGCAGCCGTGTTGCCACAAGATCATAAAAACTTCTGTGTGGTACATCGGAGGCAGATGGGTAGGTGTCTCTATAGAGTCTCCAGGGACAGTGTCTTTCCAAAGTCAGCTCTCAGTCCTCTTCACTATTGCAGACAGGTAGTGTGTTCTTCCAGAGTGTAGAGGCAAGGTGACGCTGAGGCAGGAATGCACTTCCAGAAATGAGCTGTACTCACTTGCATGGTCCACTAGAGCAGTGTAAGAACTGCCCACAGGGTGCCACTCAGGAGGCTCAGCAGGACCATTAGCCAGTGCCTCAGAAAAGCAAGAACAAACAAGACCCAATTGCAAATATATGTTTTATTTGTTTGTTGTTTCGTTTTGAGACAAGGTCTCACATTGTGGCATAGGTTGGCCTGAAGCTCAACTGCTCAACTTAATTAGCCTCAAATTTGTCACAGTCCTCCTGCCTTAGCTTCTTGAGTGTTGAGGTTAAAAGCATGAGTCACCAAACCTACAGATTTCACTTGAGGTTGGTCTCTATCTCTCATTTTCTGATGGTGGGCAGTCAACAGAGGACTTGCCAAAGCCCCGGTGTCTATGTTGGCTTCTCTTGGGTTGACTTTCATGGCTGATTGTAGTTTCTAACCACAGAGAATCAGTGCTTCATGCGTAGGCTGTTAGGTTCCCCATCACTCTAGTCCAGACTGGGAGAGAGAGAACCATGTGTCTTTCAGACTCCCGCTTGCGGGTAGTTCCAGGGAAGTAGGGAGCAATGAGCAGTGTGTGGTACACACATACTCAGCCACCTCCCCACAAACTCACACAGCAGATGTTTCTCAATGTGCCAGGTACCATTTATAATGTGCCCAGCTCTGCCCTACCTAGGTGCTGAAAACAGCGTCCTGTCTTCCTGAAGCTTCCTCTACTCTTCCCTCGTCAGAATGTAGGGAAACTGACCAGTAAATGTTGTGTGGTCAAATGGTGATGATGGAGAACCATCCGTAGTGCTCAGAGGGAGAGAAGTCTTACTAGAGTTTGACCCAGGCCCTCCTCACAGATGAGATGACAGTCAGGATGAAAGAGGGAACATGAAGTGATCTGCATCTCAAGCAGAGAGAAGGTGATTAATAGTGCCCTTCTGGTAACATATTTGACATGTCCTGGGAACATTGGTGACCACAGTAGATGGGGGCAGGTCATGGTAGTGTGAAGAGATGAGGTATGTGGGACTGAGGCCTATGGGCCACAGGAAATGCTTGGGCTATAGTTCTGAGCATCTCATGACCTGGCCAATTTAAACAGTATTATTTACTTGTGTGTGTTCACATAAGTCCCTGAAGGCAGGCAGGAACAGCTAGGAAGAGGTGGCCATGGAGCTGAGGCACAACACTGAGCCCCAAGTGCTTCAGGCTTTGTGGGTCAGGGAGGTGAAGGCTAGGAATGAGGGCTTGGATTGATCACAGAGTAGGCTTTGGTGGCCTTGAAGGAGCAGTTGTAATGGCATGAGGAGATATATGGGAGCCTAATGGAACCAGGTTCAAGGAGGAATGGGAACAGGGAAGCCAGAGACAAAATGTGGGTTATGGGTTTTGGTAAAACGGGACCAAGAAGCAGGGTGGCAGTTAGAGATGGGAGTCAAGAGAGAGAGGGGTTTTTAACATGGAAGGAATGACAACTGCATGTGTGCTGCTAGGAATGACCCAGTAGAGAAGGGAGAAAGGGACAATGTTGGGGGGTTGGAGAATTGCTGGAGGGATGATATTGAGTGGGTGAAGGGAGGGGCTGGCCTCAGCAGAGACAGTTGGGAAGTATGGGCACAGATGCTCAGAGGCAGTGCAGTGAGGAGGCCCACGGAGGAGTCTGAGTGTTTTTGCCTTTTCAATGAAATGTTGGAGGTGAGGTCACCAGCTTTGGGATGAAAGATGGAGATGTGCAAAAAGACACTCCATCTGAAAGTGCTTCTGATGGCAGTCATTCTCCCACGAAGGACACTGGGTACCAGTTGTGGGTCAGGCCCATAGTCTAAAGTGCCTCTTTTTTTCCCAATAGGCCTGTCTAACCCATTCCGGGGCCTCATGAAGCTGGGCACAGTAGCCCGGCGAGGGGCCATGGGCATCTGGAAGGAATTCTTTTGTGAGCTGTCCCCACTGGAGCTCCGCCTCTACCTAAGTGATGAGGAGCGCACCTGTGTGGAAAGCTGCTCCTTGCTCCGATGTGAAGCTGTAGGACCAGCCCACAGTGATGGACGATTTGAGTTGGTCTTCTCTGGCAAGAAGCTGGCACTGCGTGCCTCCTCCCAGGATGAGGCTGAGGACTGGCTTGACCGCGTGCGGGAGGCTCTGCAGAAGGTGCGTCCTCAGCAGGAGGACGAGTGGGTGAATATCCAGTACTCGGACCTACCTGAGGATGCCCTAGAGGCTCCATCAGACAGCTTCCCCCCTCACTCAGCCCTGCCCCCAGAGCCTGCAGGGGTCCAGGGCATGCAGTTGGACTGGACATCTGCCCAGGTTCCGGAGCCAGATGCTATCAAAGAGTCCCTTTTGTACCTGTATGTGGACCGGACCTGGGTCCCCTATATTTTTTCCCTGTCCTTGGAGACTCTGAAATGTTTCCGTGTGAGAAACAATGAAAAGATGCTAAGTGATAGCCATGGGGTGGAGACCATCCGAGACATCTTGCCAGATACCAGCCTTGGGGGCCCAGCCTTCTTCAAAATCATCACAGGCAAGGCTGTCCTGAAACTGCAAGCCAAGAACACTGAGGAGGCCACCCTGTGGAGAGACCTGGTCCGAAAGGTGCTGGCATCTTACTTGGAGTCAGCTGAGGAGGCTGTGACACTTGGGGGGAGCCTGGATGAAAACTGCCAAGAGGTGCTGAAGTTTGCCACCAGGGAGAACGGCTTCCTGCTACAGTACCTTGTGGCCATCCCCACTGAGAAGGGCCTTGACTCGCAGGGCTGCTTCTGTGCAGGTGCTGACTGGGGCTCCCCACCAAGGCCTTTATCCTTCCCATATCCGATAGAGCAGATGGTACCTGCCCTGCAGCCTCTGCTCCTCCACAGTGCCCTCTGTGGACAGACACCCTACCACTTGACACCTCCTAATGTTGGGTGGACCTGTGGGTGGCAGTCCTGCTTCCTGAGCCCTTCTATCCTTCCTACTTTATATTATTGCTACACTGAGTATACTTTTGTTGCAAGGGTGTAGGATCCTTCTGAAATGTGCTTGCATGCCTTTGGAAGACATGCTATGCTATTCATTGCTGTCCAATAGGGCTTCTGTAATGATGAAAGCATCTGGTCTGTACTTTCCAACCATAGTTATAGGTTACAAATGGCCACTGAATGTTTAAAGTATAACTATATATAACTAAGAACTGAACTTTCCATTTGCTTGCGTATAAAGGGGACCTCCTGACTTTTAGCCACTGTGTTGGGTAGTATATTGCTCCACAGCTTGGGGGTCCATCTTCCCCTCATGTCTCAGGTAGCCCAGGCTGGCCTTGAATTTGTTATGTAACTGAAGATGACCTTGAACTCTTGGTCCTCCTGCCTTCCTAAGTGCGGGGATTATAGACATGTGCAACTGTGTCCCCACCCCCATTTCTTTCTTTATTCTTCTGCTTCTTTTTTTTTTTTTTTAGATACAGTCTCACTGTATAGCCCAAGCTGACCTTGAATTCTTGCTGCCTCAGCCCCCTAAGTGTTGGGATTACAGGCATTTTGTCACCACATACGTAGTTGGCTTTTCTGTCCTTTTCTCATATGCATAGTATCCCATGTGAAGGATTCTGCTATGTCAGTGTCATCATGGGCAGGGGTGGGGTGTGTGTGTCAGTATACCCTTGTAGAGTTAGGGGCTACTATTTTCTCTGCTTATAGTATTGGTGAGGAAACTGGAGCCCAAAGCTAGTATCTTGTCTCAGGCTCCTAGTATATGCAAGAGACAGAATTAGACTTTGATGATTATGTCTCAGAACTTGTGCTCGTGGGCATGACACTAGAGGGCCTCCCAGTTTCATGATGTTCCGCTGCCCGCCTTCCATTGGCACCTCTTCCCATCTATCCCCTGGACATGCTATCCAGGGGAGATATCAGCTGCCCTGTTGTAGAAGAATGGAGTAGAAAGCTGAACTGTCCTGATGGGACCACAGAGAAAAGCCTGCTTCAAGTGCCTGGAAGGAAGTGGCCTGTGGCAAGGCCCTGGAGGGTGGGTGAAGCGGCTGAGCAGAGCTTCCTGCAGAAGGCACCTCTGCCTGCCCCAGCACTCACACTCTGCTCTTGTGGGGGAGGTTCTTGTCTGTGGGTGTGAGCACTATAAGGAGAACTCTTCCCTGTGGCTGTCACCTGCCAGCCTGCCATCTGAGACCTGTAAATCCAAGGCGTTCGGGCTTTCTATACTGCTGCACTGTCCAGTGGCCAGAAGATGCCAACCAGTCATTCTTGTGTTAGAACTCATAGTTTACAGGGCTCATTATTTACACTTTGTCATGACCTCACAAAATAGCTAGTTTTACAGTGAAAGAGAGTCTTAGGAAAGTAGGTCAGGGTCAGGATGAGGCAGCTGATGAGCAAGAAAGCCAGGTCTTTGGTCCTGAGACCAAAGGCAAACCCCCACCCCCCTCCCATTGGGAGGCAGCAGGCCATTAAGCACTAAGGTAGATGTTAGGTTTTTCCCTGAGCACTCCTGACTCACACTGCTCTCTAGTATGGAGAGGTACTGACCAAGTGGCTAAAGCTGTCACTGCCCATTGTCCTGAGATAAGCCACTGTAGGCTCAAGCGGACACCATGTTATGTGTAGGTCATGCTGTTGCTGCTAGCTTCCCCGTCTGTTTCTGTGGCCAGACCTCTCTGCACAGATCTGTCACTGCTGGTTAAGGTTCTAGCTTTATTGCTCTTGTTTCTGAGCCTGGTGGAGAGGCAGGAGTACAGGTTGGCCTTGGGGAGCCAGCAGTGGACCCAGTGAACAGAGGTAGCTATGGAGAATGCAGGCTTTGTGATCAACCAAGCCCAGGTTTGAGCACCACCTGTCACTTAGCCTTGGCATGACCTGACCAATGTCTTCCTGTGGGTTTGTTTTGGACCGGTCCTTATCGTCTAACCCTAAGCTGATCGCAAACACAGAGTCCTCCTCCCTCAGCCTGAGTGCTCCCAGCAGTCATTGTTTAATAGCATGCTGTCCTAATCAGCAGTTTTGCCGGGTGTGACAGTGCACATAGTGCAGGCCTTTAATCCCAGCCCTTGGGAGGCAGAAAGTGGGCAGGTCTCTCTGAGTTCAAGACCAGCCTGTTCTACATATCTACATACATAGTAAGAGTCTGTCCAAAAAAAGGGGGGGGGGCAAAAAACCAGTTTTGATTTTAAGTGGTAGAGATATGAGTGATTAAAAACATTTTTTTGACATGTTTATTGAGAGAAAGAGGTCAGAGGACTCAATTCTCTCCTTCTACCATGTGGGGTTCCAGGGATCAAACTTTAGTCATCAGGCCTGGTGGCACTGAACCATCCATCAGTGGGCCTTTTCCCACTGAACCGTCTTGCCAGCCTGAGAGTGAGTGATTGTTTTTATCTTTATATTAGCAGGCCTTTCCCACTGTTACATGAAGATTCCATGTTACAGGAAGCCGAACGTGGCCCCACTAACTCGATCATTCACTCCCCATCCCTTCCCCTAGGCTGCTCACGGCAGATTGGCTTCTCCTTTGTACGCCCCAAGCTCTGTGCCTTCTCTGGCCTGTATTACTGTGACTTCTGCCACCAAGACGATGCCTCAGTGATTCCAGCCAGGATCATCCACAACTGGGACCTCACAAAACGCCCGGTAAGTCTGTAGGCCAGGCTGTCATTGGCCACACAGAGCTGCTCCGAGACTGAGAAACATTCTCCCCTAGAACATCTCCGTTTGTTGGGAATATTTGCACTGTAGGGGAGCCAGAGTCATCGGTTCAGTCCCTAAGATGTGGGACTGAAAGCTGGTGTCTACTGCAGCCCCTGAACAGGGCTCTGTAAAGCTCTGGTCCCCAGTGGCTACCTCAGGACAGTTCCCTAAAGCTAAGATAGCAACAGTTGTTTAAGACCTTGGCAGTAAGGTTGTCAGTAGGAAATTAGGATAGAGTAGATTTAATGCACTGATGATGGATGGACCGACAGACAGATGTAGGTAGACAGCAAGGCAGCAGGGTGTACTCTTACTTGGCTTGTGCTTCTCCTTGGGGGCCAAGCCAACTGCACCTCCCTGCAGAGAAAAGAAAGCCTTTTCCTAAGTCACACCTACAACTTAAAGAAGGAAGAAGCCCAGAGTTTTTAGCCGTTGAACATTAGTGTTCCTGGCTGTAAAATGGCCATGCTAATTTTTAGAAGTGTTTTGAGAGAGAGAGAGCCCTTTCTGTGTAATTGTTTATATAAGCATTGCGACTCACCTTGCCTCACCTCACCTTACCACATTTGGTTTTATTGAATATTCTATCTCGGGTATGTTTTTATTACTGTGTGTGTGCACAGTATGTGCAAGCTCTCCTTCCATCACGTGTGGCCAGACACCTTTACCTACTGAGCCCTCTTGGTGGCCCTTGGGCACCTTTATTATGTGTACTTCTGAAGGAGATTGCTTGCGTGGGATAGTCTCATAGTGCCCAGCAGCGCCTTTCTGTCCTCATAGCCTGTTACACCTTCATCCCTAGGGCTACTTATCTAGGCTACTTATCTGTCCAGGGGGACAGACTTGGCTTTCTCCCAAGGGCATAACCATGGAAACACAAGGAAGGAGCTGTCTGCATCTGTCAGAGCCTACAGACTGCACTTTCTTGGTTTTGGATGTGCCCCACTGCCCAGGGATAGTGACTGAGCTCCCCTGTGGTGAGGGGAAACCCCAACATTGGCTTTGTTTTGGCCTTCTGTTGTTTACCATGTCTCTACCCCTGCCCTTAGCATTAACTATTCAACTACAAAGAGGAATGTAAACCTCAAAATTCAAAGGAGAAAGAACCCCTTGGCAGTAAAACAGTTAGCACTCCTCGCCCTGTATTTCTGTGGAGATCCTCATTCACTGCTGGAGTCTCTGTGCATCATCTTTCCCCTCACTAGGACACTGAGTTCTGTTCCAGGTGCTTCTAGGACCAGGAAACAGCCAGTTCTCCCTCAGCAGTCACTGACCTGGGAAAGACAGGGAAATTCAAAACAGAGAGTAGTTGGCCCAAGGATTTGGGGCTTCATTGTTTGCTGCTACTAACGCTGGCTGACCCACTTGTGCTGAGATCCAGCTGGCGCCTGGCAGAGCATCAGCCCAGGACCAGGGATCTGCTTTGATCTGTCTCTTCCATGCCCACAGGATACATACAGCCTCTGGGGAGCATGAAGCCCCGTGTGCAGGGCTGGGCAGGGTTTAGCACACATTGCTGGATGTTGTTTCAGTTGAGCCTTGCCTGGGGCCAGAGACTGAGTTGTGGGAAGATCGAGGCTCAGTCTAGAGGGTAGCAATTTGACCCCAGTCACCAGGGTTTGCCACTGGGCTTTACCCAGAGTGGGGGTTATCACCTCAGTGCTTTGGCACATGGAAAATGCAATTGTCCGTTGCTGGGGGAAGTGACAGGTGACTGTTGGGAGATGGGAGATCAGAGGTGTCTCCAGCCCCCAAGTCTATGGAAGCTCTCCTGAGGGTCCTGTCATACCTTGCCCTGGCCCTCAGAGGCCGATGGGACCAGGGTAAATTCCTGCACTGTGCCTTTCATGTGGGTGCAGCATGCACAGCCCTGTGCCAGAGCTCCCACCTTTTACTCTCAGAATCATGTCGTCAAGTGTGCTTTGACTTCCTCTGCAAACCTTAGCTCTTGGCCATGGAAAACAGAGTTTATGACAGCCCCGTGTTGAGGGACCGCTCTTGCTGGCCTCTGCCATCCACAGGCAAATAGATACTTCTCTGAGGGATGGTTCTGAAGATGAGACAATACAGATTGACCACTCTTCTCTAAGCAGAGTGCGCTGGCAGTTGAGACGTTGGAAGACCATCCTGAAGTACTGTCGAGAGCTGAGGCCACTCAGGAATGTCATGGAGCTCTGCTCTGTAGCTTCCTGTGGCTGGGGCTTGATGGCAGCGGAGTCACCTGGTTCCTGAGTTAGGGCCCAGAGGACAGTGTGTTTCCTGTAGGCAGGAAAAGGGGGCTGGGAGGACAGGAAAGTGTGGAAAGTCTGTGAGGCCCATGGGGAGGGGACCCCTCCCTTGTCTCCACAGGGTTTGAAAGTCAGGCTGTGTGACCTTTGTCAAGTGGCCTCAGTTCTCTGACCTTATTTCCTGATCTGTAACTTGAAGAAAGTACCATTAAGTGGGGACAGGCTGCAGGCAGGTTTGAACTAGGTAACACAGCAGCCAGCCAGAAAGCCTTGGTTGACCGGGCAAGGTCTTTCCTGGGTTTCTCCAGGTCTGCCGGCAGGCCCTGAAGTTCCTGGCACAGATCCGGGCCCAGCCCCTTATCAACCTGCAGCTGGTGAACGCCTCTCTGTACGAGCATGTGGAGCGCATGCACCTCATTGGCAGGAGCCGGGAACAGCTGAAGCTTCTGGGGGACTACCTGGGCCTGTGCAGGAGTGGCGTCCTAAAGGAGCTGAGCAAACGGTGAGCACTGCTCATGCACACATGCACCTGTGTGCACACACCAGCCAAAGCCTGGTCAACACGTCCACCTGGGAGATGTCAGAGCTGAGCTGGCAGCTTCCCACTAGGCTGTGAAGTCACTGTATCCTTGTCCATACCTTCATTTGTTTAACACAAGCTTGTTGAGAACAGCTGCTCTGAACACCTGGAGAAGTAGGTGGATACTGTGCTGAGATATGGCAGACCCAAGGCCTCCCTTCAGGAAGCCACTGATCTGGCAGGGGTCAGGTGAGCCAGCAGCACCTCCAACCAGGGGCAAAGCAGGGGAGAGAAAGGATGCCCCAGATGTACATAGGAGACACATGTGACCTGAAGGCCAAGGTGGTCCATCAGAAAGACTTCCTAGAGGGAGGGGCTCCTGAAATGAGCCTGAAAAGTAAATAGACCTTACAGAGGAAGGGCAAGACGTGCTGAAGAGAGGCACACATGGGCCATGGAGGAAGACACCATGCATGGAAAGCTCGGGAGAGCTTTGGCTGAAGAAGGAAAGGAAGTGGGCAGAGTGGTAAGGGACAGAAGAGAGAAGGGTGCTGGCCTGGCTCATCCCTTGGCTGCTTGCTGTGTCTTTGGCTGCATTTCTCTCTAGGTCATCTACAGCATGAACAGTTGGCAGCACTCTTCCAACAGAGCCTAAATCTCTTAGTACTCAAGGGATAAGAGGTAACCTTGGACTTTAGGATAGTCTTATAAGGCCTCTCTGTGACTGCCTCATAAATCTCCAGGCCCTATATTTATGGCTGAAGATGTGGTTGTTGAGGGGCTGTACTTTCTGGGGGGTCCTCAGCAGGTCAGGCCTTGGGGAGGAGCGAGTAGATGGCCCATTATTGACTTGGTGTCTGCTTGTTGAATCTCAGAGACTAGAGGTACCTACAAGCTGTCTTTCCCTAGCCTTGCTTCCCTAGGGGCCATCACAGAGAGCACTGTCTGAGCGTGTCTCCTCAGGCCCAGTTCTCCCAGAGGTATACCTGCACTGTGCCTTGGGGATAGGTGTGTCCAGTGATGGTCCTCTGGATCTTGGGTAGGGCAAGGGGACACCGCCTAGAATAGCCAGTGACCCCCTCTCCAGAGCTTTATCTCCTTCCACAGGGCTTAGAAAAACAGACAACCTTTTGGAGGACTCTGCCACCTAAGATCAGCATACTACCTGGGTCTCCTTTTTTCCATGAAGTTGACCCTGCTTTTTTTCCTTTCAGGGATTCCAGGAGTTAGGGCTCCAAAGAATATGTGTGCCTGCCCAGGGATGAAATCTCTGGGTGGGAGAAAAGTCTCACTGCCCTCTCTGGAACCCCAGAGACCTGAGGATCTGTGTAGATGGGTGACTATGGCATGGCTCATAGGTGCTGTCCCCACTCACCCTACCTGCTGACTTGTTCCCAACAGCCTCTGGTGGGTGCTCAGGCACCGCGTCTCTGCCTCCCTCCATCTTCTTGACTCGCTGTCCCCACCTTGGCTCAGCCCTGCACAACTGCCTGTTAGAGGGTGGGCCAGGCTTGTGAAAGTCGTGTGTACATGTGGTATGTGTGTGCATGGGGGAAGGGAGGTTGCACTCACCCATATACATGAATACAGAGGCCAAAGGGCTGTCCTGCTCAGCCTCTCTCTGTCTTATTCGTTGGAGACAGTCTTTATTGAACCTGAAGCTTGCCATTTTTTTTGGTTAGATTGGCTGGCCAGTGAGTCCCAGTGTTCCCTGTTTTTGTCCCCCACAGCACTGGGGTTGCAGCCACACCCCAGCATTTTATGTGGGTACTGAGGAATCCTAACTCAGGTCCACATTTCTGTGCATCAAGCATTCTTTCCCCCTGGAAGTTCCATTTTAGACGAAGCTCAGAGCAAGGGAAGAGTATAGGAGCAGCCCCTGCCTGACCTAGACCACAGCATGGCTCCAGGAAGTGTGTTTGGTGCTGTGAGCCTGTTTATCCATCTGTGAGATGGACCACTGGTCTTTGTTATATGACCTTCCTGAGTTGTGGTGAGGGCCACATGAGAGGCTCAGTGTCTGGGCCTTAACCGGCCATAGGCAGGCAGGCAGATGGCTGGGTCAGTAGTATATGTATCCGGAGGAAGGATGCCCATGACAGCCTGGACAGAAGGGCCAGGAGGCTGGGAAGCTTCCAAAGAAGTGGCCAGAGGAAAAGTGTGGCTTATATGGAACACATAAAATTCTTGGCCACCTAATCAAGTCTCCCCCCCACCCATCACCTGGCCTTGGCAGGGAGGGTTCCTGTCTCCTTTCCTAGCCCATTAACTTTGCTCCAGAGCACTGAGTGGGGTCTTCTCATTGTATAGGGAGAGAAACTGAGGCACAGGACAGGCTGTGTCCATCTCTGTATATGCCCTCAACCAAACCTTACAGAAAAATGAGTTGGCAAGGCCACACTGAGAATGGCAGGCAAAGGGTGCAGTAACTTGCAGGGAAGTCCCTGGGCCTATTGTCTCCCAGGACTGGACAGAGGGAGGATGACAGGGATAAATCTGCATCAAAACAGCCCCACCCTTCCTGCCAACTCAGGATCAGCCTTTGTAGCCCCTTCTGTGTTTTCCTGGTTATAAATGACAGCTTCCTGTTCCCAGAAAGCTGGAGTCTCACTGGGGGCCAATCGGAGTCCTCAGCCACAGGGTACAGTGTAGCCTGCCTGGCTGTGTAGGATTCAGCATCCTAGCTCCACACTGGGCTCCCTGTGGATCAGAACTGAGGCCATTGGCTAGGGTGTGGCCAGTCTCCCTGGGGCCTGGCACTGTTCTGTCCTAGATGTCCAGAGTACCCAGATTGGACCCCACACCTCCCCAGTTTGACCAACCTTCCACACCAGTGCCCACACACATGGCCAGTCCGGTTCTGTGCCAGGGATTCTCTGCAAATGTTTTCTCTTCATCCCTCAGGGTGTGACCGGGGTTCTCCACCATTGGTCTGTTAGGAACTTGAGCAGAGCTGGTGTCCTGCCTTCATCTTTTGCTGCTCAACCTGAAATAGGATCTGCTTTGCCTAGAGTGTGAATCAGTTCCTCTCAGAGGATCAGGGAAAGCAGATACTTGAACATGACCTTGGGGGAGGGGGGGACTGCGTCCACGTTCTTAGGCTTCAGAACTGTTTCAGGGCTGGCACTGACTCAATGGAGGGGATAAGGATACGGGTCAGACTCCTGCGTTCAAGCTCAAGCTCTGATTCTTAACTCTGTGACCTCAGGCAAGTCATTTAACCTGTGTTTCCTGTCTTCTCAAAATGCGATTTAAAATTGGTCCGGCTTCACAGGGTTACCACAAAGACTAGGTACTTAGCCCGGTTCCGAGTACCAGGTGTCAACACACATCATCCTCGTTGCTTGGTAGTCATGTGTTTACAGTGTGCTGGATGTGTTCAGTCGATTGTTTAATCCTCAACACAATCCCGGGAGGGTACCTGAGGTGCCAAGGGCTAATTAATGTGCCAGGTACTATAGGCGTGAGTTGAGGTGGGTGTGTGCTCTTAGCCTGCCTAGTAACCCAGATCTGTGTCGCTGGCTGGTAGGCAGGGCTGAGTGGAAGAAAAGCAGGAACGGAGGCCTAACCTTGGAAGCCCTTCTAAGGAAGTGCTTGTGTTATCTTTGCAGGCTAAGCCACAGGAATTATCTCTTGGAGTCTCCTCACAAATTCAGTGTTGCTGACCTCCAGCAGGTGAGCATGTCATGCTCCCCACCCCTAAATCCTGGACTCACTAGACGGTTCTTAATCCTGAAGAAATCTCAGGGAAATAGCAGAAGGGGCACCTGTAGTTAACCCAGGCCAGGCAGCAATCCTCAACAATCCACCCTTCAGAATGGCCTCCCTTTTGTCCTCTACCTCCTGAGCAGTCACTGGATGAATCAGGGGCTCCAGCAGCCCAAGGGTGAGTGAAGGTCTTTCCTCCAAGGATGATAGAGTAGATTGGGATCCCATCTATAGTCCCCATGCCCCAGAGACCTGAGATGTAGGCTGATGGCTGCATCAAACAACCCACGTGGGACCAGGGAAGTTCTGAGGCAGTGGAGCGGGCTAAGACTGGTTTCCACTTGCTCCTGCAGATTGCAGAGGGGGTGTATGAAGGGTTCCTCAAAGCCCTGATTGAGTTCGCCTCCCAGCATGTCTACCACTGTGACCTGTGCACACAGCGAGGCTTCATCTGCCAGATCTGCCACCACCACGACATCATCTTCCCCTTTGAGTTTGACACCACAGTCAGGTATGAGGGACATGTGGCCAGCTACTCCCAGACCCTCTCATCTTCTTCTGCAGGGGCATGCTGAACACCCACCCACTCTGCCAGTGCCCAGGCTACTGTGACTGCCCAGGGATGCCTGGGCCCACAGCACCCCTCACCCACCCCATTATCTTAGAGACAGCTGCTGTCCCATGAAGTGGGACATCTCTGAGCTCAGTCTACAGCGGGCTGAGGTACTGACAGTGTATTTCTGGCCCTCAAGCACTAGCATGAGGCTTAGCTAAGTGGGCACCATGGCCCCAGCTGCAGTAAGTGGTAATTCTTGCCATTCATTACTGCACATCATTAGACACCCTTAAACAGGGCATATTCCCCAGTCTTCCCTTACCCCAGATAGGAGTGGAAGACTGAGCTAGATGGGCCACCCACTTTCCTTCCGTGGATAAACCAGCTAGTGTCGGCCCTGAACAGGCCTGAGCTGTTTAAACTGCTTTAAAAATAGGCAAGAAGTCATATAAACACTCAGGCAGCACTTGCTCACAAAGAATGAACAGGACACAGGATGTCAGTGGGCATGGGGGTCACTTATGGGGTCAGTGTCTGAAATGCTCGCCAAGGGAACTGGAGGGCAGTACATGTGAGTGTGGGCTGCAGGCAGACACAGCCCCTGTGCTTCTGTCCAAGGCCCTGGTCAGCCTGGCCCAGGCACATCTAGATGACTGGCGCTAACTAGCAGCCCCTGATGCTCTCTTCTAGGTGTGCTGAATGCAGAACTGTCTTCCATCAGAGCTGCCAGGCTGTGGTGAGGAAGGGCTGTCCCCGCTGTGCCCGCCGGCGCAAGTACCAGGAACAGAACAGTGTCAGCTAACCCTGCTGTCCTGACCTTCCGAGCCATCAAACTGGGTTTGTCGGCAGCCTAGGCCTCTCTGTCTCCCTGTAAGGAAGACTCTCAGAGTGCTTGCACCAGAGAAAGCCCAGGAGTCTCAGTGATGCCCCATGGCCCCTTCTAACCCTTTTGCCCCGGGAGGTGGAGACCATCAGGTGCCTCCGTACAGGGCCTTTTACCTGGCAGGCCTGGCTTACCTAGCTGTCATGGCATCTCCATTAGGGCTGTTCGTACACTGTGGAAGAGAGGCTTGGTGAGCACTTTCAACTCACATTCCTGATTAAAAGGTCTAGTTTTTTAAGGTGGGTTTTCCCCCTTCATATTTAAACAGAAAATATTTTTTTATTCTTGACCCTACCCAAGTCGCCTAAGAAATGCAACCCTTCACCCACGCAGATGGGCAAGAGCAGCCCCAGCCCGGAGATAGGCATGGGCCTGGGTGGACAGGCCTCTGTGGACTGGTGCCTTCCCTTTGCCCTTTCTGGCACACACTGCCAAGAATGCGAGTGTTGTGTGCCAAATGGCCCATCATTGCAGGGCTGGTCAGTTTCAGCTCCATCTTTCCTCTCCCATCTTCGTGCTCTCTCCTGGAAAATGTCCCCTTCCTCTGTCAGAGCTCCTTTCTGGCCTGGGACAGGGGGTGACAAGCACCAGCACTGTCAGCACTTTGAGCCCTCCTTGTTCGGGAAGACTATGATCTTGCCAACCTCACCCCCCATACACACGCATACCCCATGCCCTCCTTAGTCCTGCATAGGTGGCAGGGCTAACCCATGCCAGGGTAGAGTAGTCTAGACACCAGAGAGGCTCCAAGCTCCAACTGTGGAGAAGAGGCACCATCCTTTGGCTACAGAGAGATAGAGGAATGTGCCTAGAAGCTGCCCTGTAGAAGTTTCATCAGCCCTAGTCTCCCAGAGCTGTGAGTTCACAGTTTTTATCTTGCCCAGGAGGACATTGCAGCGCCCAGTGAGCTCCCTAGGAGGAGGGTTGCCCTTAAGAGGCTCTTGGGCTGGTGTAGTGTCCCAGGATTGTTCTCAAGGTCATGTTCATAGCCTTGAGGCATTTTGGGGAGTAGATATGTCCTGTGCTATCCTCACCTCTCCTGAACCCCACAGCCTTTCTGGACATCCCAGAGTACTCAACTTAGAGCCAGAGGCCTCAGGAGGGCTGGAGGGCCTCCCTGGAAATGTGCCTGTCATGTCTACAGAAGAGGTTTCCCCACCCTGCCTGAGCTGAATGAGCTGACTCACCTCCCGAAGCTTAAAGAATTGTGCAATAAACCAGAGGAGGCAGGTGGCAGAGGCTGCCTGTCACACAGTTCGTCTGTCCCCATCATGGAAGGCGCGCTTTCCAGTGATTGGGAAACCAAAGCTTCCAGAACCACTCAGTGTATCCATACCTGCACCCCACAGCCAGCATTAACACTTCCCCCAAACCACAGACCGATCAGAGCCTCCTTGCTTTGGATCTTGAATGGGCAGGAGTCTGTCCCTTGTGGGATGGTTACATGAGAGTATTCTGGAACCCGCCTGAGGCAGCCGGATCCTTTCCACTGCCTGGATTGTACCCTTTGCTGAGCTGCTGATGTGCTTAGATGAGTCACTTAACCCGCCACCAGAAGAGCTCACGTGAACCTCGGCAGTGCCCACACTAGTTCAGAGATAAATTTTTTTATGCAATATTCTGACAAGTGGGCCTTGACAATATGGGGAAGGAACTGCTTCTGTGGTATTTGACTGATTTTGCAGTAAAGAGCTGGTCTTTTCTAATCAAAGTGTGGCTTCTGAATCTCAATCCTGCGGCTGCTGGGGAAGCACCAGCCATCCCACCCACTCCCCTTCATCCTAGGCATTGGGGATTTCAGGGTCCATGGAGCACACTTGCCAGCCAGTGCAGCAGAGGGGGAAGAGGTAAGTGACCGAATTTAGGTTGCCCTGGGTGAAGGTGGGAGCCTTTAGATTTACACCACTGGACTGTAACAGCTGAAGCTTGCTTTTCCACCTTAAATGCCTGAACACAGATCTCTCTCTCTCTCTCTCTCTCTCTCTCTCACACACACACACACACACACACACACACACACACACACCTGTAAAAGCTCAGGAATCTGGGTGTGGAGAGGGCCTCAGAGAGGGCAAGCAAGAAGGGCAAGCCCAGGCTCAAGAGACCTGTGTGCTGCTGTCCTTCCCCAGAGGTCCCAGGAGAAGCCCCCCACTGCCCATGTAAGAACAAAAGAAGGAAACAGACCAATTCCTAGGGAAACCAGGTTGCAGGAAAATGGGGCAGAAAGAGACAACATCCAGAGCTACATTTCCTGGACTCGAGGACCTTCAGCCAGTGAGTGGGAAGTTCCTTGGTCATCTGTGAGCCAGATTCTCCAGGGGCCTAGAGAAAAAGAAGAACTGGATTTGGAGGTTCAAGGTTCGGGGAGGCAGGGCCAGGAGAGGGGCCTGACACTTGAGCTGATGCTGGCCAGTCTTTGGCTCAGGCTCTCAACCTTCAGCACAGTGCCTCCCGAGGGCAGCTTCTCCTTTCTCCCCTCATCTAGAGGGGGATGGGAAAACTGGTGTTCTCATTCCCAGAAAGGGCCTCACATTATAAAAGTAAGAACGAATAATAAAGTACGTGTGCATACCATTATTGTGTTTGGTGGGTGTCATTTAACCTTCCCAGCAAGTCTATGGGGTAATGGGAGGAATTGAGACCCAATAAAGCAGTAAGTACTCCCATGTCTAAAGGCCAGCTTGTGGCAGAGTTGGGCATCAGGCTGCTGCATCCTAGACAAGGGCCTGGCTGGCTGGCTGGGTGACTAGATAATTAGAGAAAGACCAGGTAGGGTGGAGGGACAGAGTTCCTTCAGTCTCTCTTTGTGTCGTGTGCCTTCTCTGGTGTATCCTAAGATACACAGCACAGTGGACTCCTTAGTGGGCAGACTAACAAAGTCAAATATACAGAATGGGAATTCAGAAAATATGGGGGTGGGTGTGTCCAACAGAACTCTCCACCCTGGAGGGACAAAGGCCTGGTGTCCCTGTCCCCTTCTCTGCTCAGGAGCCTTAAGCAGCTCTTAGGTGGAGCACCTAGTTGGACCCCACACTTTCTTGAAAGCCAGAGAGTAAGTACTCTGGTGCTGGGGCTTGCCCTTGTCAGAAATTACAGCCACAGCTCAGAGTGGTAAGGCTGCTTTCCCAGGAGGCAGGTAGTTTCCAAGATGCCAGGATCCTGGAACTACACCCAGGCTGCCTGCAGAGTACTGAATGGTGACGGCACTCTTTCCCATGCGACGACGATGAGGGTTAGCAGGAATGGAATCTGGTCAGAAGTTGAGAGAAACTGCCTCCCCCGCAGTTCTTCATCCAGGCTCTGCTGCCGCCTCCTCCCCGGAGACAGCCAGGTGTGGCCCAGGATCCCGGGGAAGGAGGGGGGAGGGTGGCGTCTCTGCTCCTAGAGCTCTGGCCCGGCCCAGAGGGGACAGGAAGCCAGGACACCGGGGATTGTCTCTTGCAAGCACAGCCCAGCCCCAGCCTGGGAGGAAGTTCTGCCGAGCGCTCTCCGCCGGTTATATTGTTGAACAGGAAACAGGGCACCGCGGGAGCAGGGCCCTGGAGCAGGCAGCACCGGACGGGGACCCCACGCGCGTCTGCCGGGACAAGTGGAAGCTAGGCGAGCCAGCGGGCGAAAGTTCTGAGGTGCCCGGGCCGGGCTGGACCGAGGGAGGGGTGGTGTTGGGGAGGATGGTGCTGGGTCGTGGGAGGGCGAAGAAGGTGCCCCAGGTGGCCCTCCCCACCCTGGAGCCCCGCGCACCGCCTGCCCTTCTTGCTGCACTGGGGCTAGAGCCGCGCGAGCCTGGAGGAGGACCCGGAGGTCCGATCCCCGGGGACGAGCGTTAGGCGTGGAGCTACCTTCTGTCTCAGGGCGAGAGGGGAAACAGCTGAAGTCCCTCCAGAGCTGATTTAGGCATTGGTGACGCTATGGCGAGGGGTGACCGAGGCAAAAGATGCAGGAAGCCTAGTGGCTAAGCTTGCGTTCTTGCTTCCAAGGATCCTTGCCGCTCTCGCATCCCTCCCCTTCCTTTCGCTCTCCCCGGATAAAGGAGAATCTGAGACGCAGGTCTCCTTGCCACACAAACCGAGACAGTGAGCTCCTGTGAGCGTCTCTGCAAGGGGACTCTAGTTTTTCCAGGCCCGGACCGGCTGCGCCTCAGCTGAGAGGGCGGAGGTGCGCCAGGAATGGGTATTGCTCTCAGTCTGTCTGCAAAGGACTCCCAGTTCGTGATTCAGGGTGCAAATGGCCTCGATCAAAATGTGCATGCTGGGACTAGACAACCATCTCCAGCCAGGCATTCCCAGAGCATCGGGCCCACGGAACGCTGGGCCTCAAAGGCAGCAAATCTCTCTGGGGATGGAGGGGAGAAGCAGGACCTATTGACTCTTGAGCTCCGCTTGCGATCCGTCAGCATCCTTTCCATGGCAGCCCCTCCCTCGAGCCCTCCCCCTCTTTTTTCTGGAGACTCAGTCTCTCACATCTCCAAAGGGCCCCGACACAGGCATTATGGCTGGCTCCTTCTCACCCTCCCAGACAAGCTGTATTGGGGACAGCCCTGCTGAGTATGGGTCTCCTCCTCTCCTCCCTGTCAGCTCTGTTCTGCGCGGTTCCTTCCATCTGTCCTTGGAAGTCCCGCCCACAGAGATGGTAGAGACCTCACCTGCAACCCTCCGCCAGCCCCGCCCATCCAGCCCTTGGACACCCTGAGACCCTCCCAGCTAACGTGAGTGCGTGGGGTCCTGGGGAAGGGGCGTAACTCGAGTGTCCACACTCAGGATTTGCTCGCCCAGCTCTGGTCTATTGTGACACCGCCTCCCGGCTCAGGGTGCTCAGCGACTCAGTTTACACCCGTTTCCCCATCAAGGAATTCTTGAAAACAAGAAGTCACCCTCAGCAAGAGGGTGGGCTCCCCGCTTCTGGTCCTCAGGCCACCTTAGGGCAGTACTTCCGGAGCAGGCTACCGGCTTCACTTTATTGAAGGATCGCCCCTCTCACCTCTACGCCAGGCACCGGACTGAGCAAGCATTGGGTGGGGCTGGCTTTATAATAATCACTCCAAAGAATTTTAGGGGACTCTGGTGACACTATCGCAATGCATTCTTTAGGAGCTACTCTCGCGGGCATGCAGGCAGGGTAGGGATCCCTATTCAGGTGTGCACACCAGGAAGCCTCCTCGGTTGGAGGCCGCCTTGGGAGCTTGAGTGCAGGGGGCGGTGCTGGCCCCGCTGGGCGGGCCGGACTCCTGGTTCACGTGTGCGGCGACGCCACTGGGAAAGGAAAGAGAAACCCAGAGAACCGGTTCTCCAGCCTTAGCTGTCCAAGCCCTACGTCAAAGTCCCTTGACTAAGAAAGGCAGGGACACCCCAAAGGAAGAACAACTTGGGGGCTGCCCCAGAGCCTGTACCCCAACGCCAACTTCGCCCGCCCGGAGCGCAGGCTCCTAAAGGGGGGGCACTTAAGGGCTTTCCACCGGTTCCCTGCAGGCTGGAGGCGTCAGGGTGGGCGGGACGGGGGCGGGGGAGCGGCGGGAAAGGGACCTAAATTCACAATTCGCCCACCCGGAAAACGAGGCTCAGCCAACCGTCAGGCAAATGTGCTGTCTACCTTGCAGTCCCCGCAGGTCTATGAGCCAAGGTTTCCCGGAGAGTAAAGTTGGATTCCTATAGTCCTCAATTTCCTCACCGTGGGATCGCAGCGAGACACATACAATCAACGTCACAGAGTGGAGCCTTAAGAATGAGAGCCTTGGAGATGATTTTATCCAAGTCCCCATTTCAGAGATGGAAAAACTGAAGCCCGGATGCACTGTGCAAGGGCAGGAGAGGGACTCGAACCCTTGTCTTTGAGCCCCAGGCGTGGAGCTCTTCCCGGCTGCGCTGTCCTGACTTCGGCGGCTCCCCTTGTTACCCGCAGGAAAGCGCGGTGGCCGCGATGGCGGCCGACGTCGAAGGGGACGTGTACGTGCTGGTGGAGCACCCCTTCGAGTACACCGGCAAAGACGGGCGCCGTATCGCCATCCAGCCTAACGAGCGTTACCGACTGCTGCGCCGCAGCACAGAGCACTGGTGGCACGTGCGGCGCGAGCCTGGCGGTCGCCCTTTCTACCTCCCCGCGCAGTACGTGCGCGAGCTGCCCGCACTCGGCGACCCTGCCCCGGCCCCGCAGCCTTCCGTGCCGCAGCCGCGCCCGGCAATCCCGGAGCCTCTGACCTATGACTACCGCTTCGTGAGCACCGCAGTGGGTGCCGATGGGTCCTCCACCGAGCCCCGGGGCCGCGCCAGCTCCCTATGTGGCCCTGCGCGACAGCGCGCCGGAGGCCAGCGCAGCAACCTGGCGCCGGGAGGTCCCGCCTGCCTGTACGTGCGGCCCGCAGCACCGGTGCGACCGGCGCAGTCCCTGGACGACTTGGCGCGTGGCGGCACCGCGCCCCCTGCCGGCCTCCTGGGCAGTGCGGGCCACTTCAAGGCCTCCAGCGTGGCGGGCTCCTGGGTTTGCCCTCGGCCCCTGGCTCGCAGCGACCCGGAGAACGTCTACGAGGCCATCCCGGACAAGCGCTGCGCTCCGCGGGAGGAGAGAACCAAGCTGGTAGGTCGCCGCGAGCGAGGGGACGGGAGGGAGGTCACAGTCGCGCAGAGCCCAAATGATTTCTTAACTGAGGTCGTCGTTTGTCTCTTCATCGTGAAGAGACATCGTGTTTTTATGCAAAAATGCAAATGGAGGGATAAAAATCTAGGACAGGTCAGTGCACCGAATAGGGGTCCTAAAATGCCACCTGCTCTGTTTGGAGCTGTGGACTCTTCTCCAGAAACTTAAGGTGGGAGTCGGGTCAGATGAGATGGTAGATGTGAAAAGTCGAGCACCTGCTTATCTTTGAGGCAGTTTCCAATGTTTCGGTTCCTTTAAAACAAAACAAAAACACTTCATGGGCTTTTTTCAAGTTCAGTGAGATCTCCTCTCGGAGTCCGATTGTATTTATCTGAGACATAGGAAACAGCGCGTTCTTTAAAACTTATAGCCTCGGAATCCTCTTGCTCAGCCTTGTCTTCTTAAACTTTAGAACATTTTAGGGAGAGATGGCCTGCAGGAGGAGGGAGGGGTACCTCCAATGGGTTAACATCTGCCATTCGCTGTGGTATTATACACAACTCACTTCCTCTCTCAGGCACTGCGACCCGGGTGCCCTCTCCCAGGAGGTGCGACCCCATGGGCCAGCTACTTGGCCTTGTGGCTTGTCCTTGCCGCAGAGTTCAGGTTTTGCGGCTACTGAAACCCGAATTTGACTCTGCTGGGTCACCTGCCAGCTGCTGACGAGCTCGGTGTCCTCGTATGTAAACAATACGCAAGGAATGAAGTTGTTGTGAACCTTAAACGCTGCGAGGCGTAGAAGCGCTCGACAGGAGCCTGTGCAGGGAGAGCAGCTGGGGTCTCGCTGCCTAGGCACTGGCTGCTGCTTTGAGTCTCTGCGCTCAGGTTTCCACAGATCACCCCTCCTCCTTGTGGCCACGGCAGAGAACAACACTCAGCCGCCTTAAGTATCTGCGGCCGCCGATCAATGCTTGTCCTGTTTATCCGCCAGCCCAGGATAAACGTGGTTTAGAAGGCTAAACTGTGGTTTAGAAGGCTAAACGTCCCTGCTTGGTTCTCCGGCGCCCTTGAGCTGGCTGCCTTCCTCTAGAGAACTCCTGGGTCTTCCCATGGGTTCCTTATCTGTGGGAAATAGCCCTGTGTGCTGAATTCTGGCCAAGGGATTGCTCACACTGTGTTAAGAAGTGAGGAGTTGCAACCCCTTCACCCATGAACCCAGACTATGTAAGTCTGTCCAAGGGCGGCTATCCAGGCTCTGGGACCAAATAGAAAGAGAATTCCCCAGATGCCTGGGGAATCTCCTGGGAAATCTCAGCTCCCAGGTTCCTGGTTGTGAGTAGTTTGGGGATGCAGTTGAGGGTGGGCTGGTACTGACACAGAAGGAACCAGGAAGTCTGCCAAAGACCTGGATGCTGGGCAGAGAGGCTGCTGCTGGCTCTTATTAACTCTGTGGCTTCAGCAGACTGCTCAGCATCTTTGGTCCTGCTTGCTCCTGGGTGCTGAGTATAACAATATTCTCTGCTGTGGCTCTCCCTGATACCCTGACCCCAGCCAACTGCAGGGATGGTGAGTTTCTTCTCCCTTGGGAAGGAAATCCCAACCCCTGCCCTTCCTTGTCCCAGGCAGCATGGGAAAGAATTTCCTGAAAGGTGAGTGTGGCAATTTTCCAGAGGACATACACACACACACACACACACAGGACATTAATACACACAGAGAGATAACACAGATGCACACACACACATATGACATAGATGCACACACACAGGACATTAATACACACAGAGAGATGACATAGATATACACACACAGGACATATATGTACACACACAGAGAGATGACATAGATATACACACACAGGACATTAATACACACAGAGAGATGACATAGAAGCGCACACACAGAGGACATATGTACACACACAGATGACATAGACACACACACAGGACATTAATGCACACACACTCACGTGGGCACGTGCACACACACACACACACACCTGTTGCTGGCAGTTTCTTGTCCCACCAGGTCCCACTGTGCTTCAGTCCTAAATAAACACATGGATACTATATTAATTATTAAACTGTTGGCCGATGGCTAGGGCTTCTTATTGCCTAGCTCTGTCTTTATTATTAACCCATAATTACTAGTCTATGTATTTCTACATGGCCTTATTTTACCAGAGAACGCCTGGTGCATCCTATCCTGCCAGTCTCTACATGGCGACTTTCCATGGAGAGAATTGTCTCCTAGTCCTGCCTAGCTTCCTGCCTCTACTGGCTATTGGCCAAACAGTGTTTTAGTCATCAACCAATAAGAGAAACATATATACAGTACATCCCCATCATACTCCAAGTTATACTCCCCACCCTCACTCAAACCTCCTCACAGCCCTCAACCATGGTCCTCAATTTGCTTACTCTTGCTTGTTAGGGATGGATTGATCAGATACCTCCCAAGTCCCCCAGTGAGCCCTCAGACATAGGCACCAGGGTAGCTCAAAAACAGCCCTGGGTGGTACACTGCCCGGGGTAGGACACCGACAGCAGGCAGTAGATGCTCCTGTCCCACGTTGTTCAGGCTGTGGAGCTATGCTGAGGGGGCTGTGGAGCAAGGGCAGGGCAAGGCGTGTACAGGCCTTCGTGGAGGGTTTGTAGTTCTGTCTTAACCCACCGTTTGTGCTGGCTGTGGCGTCTACCATCAGGAAGGGCTTTGTGGGGGTCTGGACTTTTACCCTGCAGCTCCTGGAATGCTCTTAGTAGGGGAGGGGGTGGATTTGAGAAGGTCTCCTGTGCTCAGGGCTATGAGCCATGGTCAGAGCCTCAGGCCAGGGAAAAACAGCTGAGCCTGGCTTGCCACTCACACTGGTAGGCAGACAATGGCACTATTTCAGAGTGGGGGAGGCATGGGGTAGAGAAAAAAGGGGGTGCACCTGAATATAACTTACAAAAGGAGGGAAGGAGGAACTCAGGGCGAAACAAAGAGGATAAGCAGAAGCCTAAAAGCCATGTGCAAAAGTTCAAGTTAGACAAAGGCTATGGGACATTATGTGACATGGCCACCAGAAGGCCAGCTTGTCAGGGGACTGCAGAAGGCATGTGTGTCAGGAGCTGAAGGGTGTGGATGCAGAGGCTATGAGCTGGCAGCTGTGTGGTAGAGAAGAGGGAGGCACTGTGGTCAGGGTGAGAGGGTGAAATGATCCCGAAATCTAAGTCACTGGATGGGGGGGGGAGACTGAGGCAGGAGGAATGGGGGGCTGAGGCAGGAGGAATGGGGGGGCCGAGGCAGGAGGTGGTGGATGGGGGGGACAGGCAGGGGTGGGGGTGGGGAGGAAACTGAGGCAGGAGGAGGGGTGGTTAGATCAGATCCCTGGGAGAACGGAGTGACTGGAAACTGGAAGAAAGGTGTGGATCACAAGGTGTCGCAGGTCAAAGGGATCAGATGGGTCTGTCTGTACATCAGCTCTGTCCTTAGGGCAGCCCACTCAGCAGGCATGCCCAGAGAAGAAGGGAGTCTGCACCACATTCAGTATTTCATGTTCTCAGTCACACGTACTATATAGTACACCTGGTGTATGCAGGTCATGGAGCTGGACGCCGTGGACCCAAGGTGTAGTAAGACACAGCCCCAGGGACAAACAGTCTAATTAATGTCCTCTCACTCAGAGGCCTGCACACAAAGCTCAGTGCCTAACAGCTCAGAAGGAAGCATGGGACACCCTTCTGTCTCCAAAACAAACAGGATCCTAGAGGAAGCGTGTTCAAATCAGACCCAGGCCTCTTGACTCCAAATCCCACCCTATCGGCCAAGCTTAGTCTCAGGGAAGTGGCCTTTCGAGGTGGCTGGCCCTGTTCCTCTGGGCCAGAACAGGGGGTGGGGGGGGGCAGAAGACAAGCAGATCCACTTTGTTCTGAGCGCAGTGCCCAGCCCTGCAATCCTCCAGCGGCACTGTTAACATCCAGGTTACAGTTTACATCGTCAGGAGGTCACAGCCAGCACCCCAGACAGGGTTAGGCCCGCACAGGAAGCCAAGAGACAAAGAGGCCTCTGGGGCCATGCCTGTAACCCGGCTACTCAGGAGGCTGAGAAAGTAGGATCCCATTTTCAGGGGTCCTCAGGCTACAGAGTGACTGCAAAAGAAAGGGTAAAAAGATAGCTAGGGTGTACAGATAATTCATGCCTAGAATGTTTGAGACTCGGGGTTCAGTCCCCAAAGCTGCCATCCCCTGTTGGCCTCTGGCCTCCCTAGCTAGTAGATTCAGGGGTGTGGTCACAATGCCTGCCCTAGCCTTGGAGGTAGGAAGGCCGAAGGCACAGATGGACTAGGGCCCGCCCCTGTTGCCTGGGTATTGGCCACTGGCAGGACAGGTTACAGACCTTGCTGGGAACTTATGCAATCAGCCTGAGGCACTGCTCTTGAGAGCTTGGATCCAGTCGGAACAGGAAGAAGCCCTCTGGGCCTTCCCACCTGAGCCATCAGAAACTGTGAGTGATCCCTCCTGGGAATTGGGAGTCCTGTGGGGGAGAAAGGAACTGCATAGTTTTCCCACTCCCTCCCGAATTCCCACCTGATCCCTCCCTGTCCTATGCACTTCCTGGGACAAACAGGGACAGACCCAAGTAATCATGTGCCCTGAAAGCTGGGGAATCGTTAAAAGCCAATCTCCCAAATTAGGGAGACCCAGTGAAATGTCCCTGCCTTGTCCCAGGTTTTCACCCCCCACCCCACCTCACCCCCACCTCACCCCCACCTCACCCCTCCACACAGTCTCCCAACAGCTCTTAGGTGGCTCAGCTGGTCTCTTTGTAACTGCCCTGGTCTTTCCTTCCTGCACACACACACACACACACACACACACACACACACACACACACACACACACGAGAGGGCAGAAAGAACAGGTTCGCCCCCTCCCCTCCTGGCCCCCCAGCCTTACATCCCTACCTGGTTACTCAGAATGCTCCTACTCACTGCCTTCACCCCTGCAAGCTGGGTGGCT